TTATTCCGTCCAGAAGTCGCAAAAAAACATGTTACACCTTCCAATTCATTAATCGTGTATCTGCGATTCAAAATCGACATTATTTGCGTGAATATTTCACAAGGCGTTCATTCGAATATAAAACAAGATAATAATCCACGTGATCCAAAATGGTAACAACAAACCGTTTGCTTGTTCCAATATGACGCGCAAATATTTGAAAAATAATTAGTAATCTAACAAGAATGACTCTTTATTTAAACAAATCGTCTTAACAATTTCTGTGTTTAGGATATATGTAATTTTTCAAACATTTTTTCTCACGAATCTCCTACAAACGGTACACCCTATATATGGAAAAATTATACGCGCATGAATGAAAATTTCTTACCAGTATATTTTTAAATTGTTTAATTTGTTGTTTATAACAAACTGGAAAAAAAACCTCAACCGACAAGTTTAATTTTCATGTACAGATTTCACAGCGCCCCATAACCACCCCGCGCAGTCCCGAACGTTTTTTTTTTTTGCGAACCCCTCTCGCTCGAGACATGTTATTTCGTTACGTTTTGTGTCTTCTTCCGGCCGACCCACGGCGCCGCTTCTGATATATCCCCGTCCTTGTTATTTCCCCTCGGCTTAATCGTTATTCTGCGGGGCCGCCTATTAGTTTTTGTTTGGAAACACGCTTTAGCTATTTTTAACCCGGGTACTCCCCTTCCTCCACGGTCTTATATTTCTTTTCTGATCGTGTTTCTTCCTACCCGAGGAGCCGGAGTGCCGATCTTTTCCTTCGCCGGCGGATACACACGACCGGGATCGTTGTATCCGAACGAACTTTTACGACCAACGCGATGTAACATTACACGAATTCTTTTACGCGCAAATTTTTAACCGTCGCGAAATTTATGAAAATCGACCCTTAACCTCCGTGCAGCATTGCACTGCTATTGTATAATATGTGATCCTTGTTCAATCTGACCGAAACTGAAAGTGCATCAGGTAGATTTTCCCAACACTAGATTGTAATATGCATTTATTCACTGTTAAATTAATTTACAAACTTCTACAATAAAAAGAGAGATTGAGAATGAATCTGATTTCAGACAAACTTTACACGAGCATTGCACGAGGATAAGTACGTACGTACAGTGACGAACAAAAGTATTGTCGCAGACCTTATTTCTTGAAATAATAGGTTTTACATAAAGGACTGTTTTCATCGGAATAAAAATATTGCAATGAAATACTAATTTAATGTTCTCTAAAAATTCTGTTTATTTTAGAACATCTTTCAACTAATTCGATCTCAAATGTATTATATTGTTATCTTCGAACCTATATTATGCTGTGTTTATAACAATGCCTCTTGTACTTAATACTTATTTTTATACTTTGACTCGCACTTCGTCAGAATTTGGTATTCTCTTACACACTGCCTAATTCGTGCCCATTATATTCTACAGAATTGTTCTAAGTTGAAATTTGTTAAATATATCAATACTTTGAATTCTATGAAAATCGCCTATATTTTTTTTATATTATTTTCCTTTGTATGTCACAAAATAATAAAATAAAGAATTGTATAATTTGTTGCCAAAACCTGGCATGAGCCAATACTTTTGATCATCGCTGTACTGTTCATGTACATTTTGTCCAAGTTTAAATATAGAAGTCAATGAAAACATTAGATCGGTTAAATTTGATCTGTTACAGTTCACAATTCTCTTTTTGTAAAACCGGTTGTGGTTTTGTTTAAAACAGGAGGAATTAGGTGAAATTGTTTATTTATAGGATGCACGATATAAAGAAAAGTTAAAAACCGACGGTAACAGTTATGCTTATTACTGATGCCAGCGAGGCTGGAAGTAATTGAGCGGATTCAATATTAGCTTGGTCTGGTTAAGAATAGCCACGATGGGAATCCCGTTTGACCACCTTGCGGTCGGTTGCTTACCGACTAAATTAGGGTGAATGTTCCGTTGTGCAAAAGCCATCGTTGTTATTTGACTGTCGGAACGGTAACATCAAATTGTTTATTAATTGATACGTCACGATTAAATTGTATAGTAAAATTTATTATTTTTTTTTACACATCTGAATTCACATTTTGATATAATTGTTTATGAACACGTTGGTTGTCATGGTGATCACCAGAGAACATCACCATTAAATTATACGCAGCAAGATACAATTTTTAAATATAAGTAGTAATATAGTAATAATTGATACAACAAGTATATGAGGCAACACGCAAATATTTGTATTTTATAGCAAACACTTGAACAGATTTGTTTTATCACTGTATCGTGTCAACAGTAAAAACGTGGACAATCAACGTGTTAATGTTGGTTAATATTGACTTTCATGGATTGGAATGCATAAGAATATTACACGAAACCATAGTACGAAAAGTAAAAATTTATATTAAATTTTATGCTGCAACCCTATTACAAGATTTTCAAAAATAAAGTAATTTTGATAGAATATATGTATAACACATGTGTACATTGTATCAAAACATAAATTGTATGAGAAAATATACATATATGTAACTACATTTAGTATTAAAAATTTCCATAAAATTTTAATATTTGATATAAAAAACTATTTTAACATAAATCAACTAAGATTATAAAGTAAATCCCTTAAACTTACTGAAACTGAACTCATTTCCATTTAGTGCATTGTATTTATTTTTTGAAAATTAATATTAGAAATAAAACAATAAAAAATAAAAAATTTAATTATACAATAAAATATGTTTCAGAAATATAATTTCAGAAACCTGTATTAAAATGATATTTAACAGAATAATTAATTCAAAAAATTGTAATATTTAAAAGGTGTAAAACATCAAGTACATAGTGATAACAATGATACTTTTTATATTTCAACTTTTATTGTAATTTGTATTAGCTTGGCAGTATGTGTACTTGTACAAAATGATTTTGTAGGAAGCTTGTAAACAATTGTTATGCAAATGTAGTAAATTATCAGTTGGAATTGAACAGATAAGACTATTACAAAATTCTATAATTTTTCATTATAACATATACCTAGTACTTCAACTCAAATAAATAAAAGAAATTGAAATTATGAAATTATGATCATTTATATTGGCAGACATGTTTTTTCGTGTGAGTTATTTTCATCAAAAATGAAATGCAATATCCTATAATTTTCTTAAATTAGTTAATAGACTAATAGTTAAGACTAATTGCTCTGGATTAAAACAACTATTGGCCCTGCACTGTGTTATCCCTTAGTACAAAGCGTTAAATTAAACATACATACATAGAAACAACCAAATGCTTACAAGATTATTCAGAATGAAAATGGTACATGAATTTAATATAAGTGAGTATAATTTGAATTTACTAGTACTGTATTAAATGAAACCATAATTATAATCACTACATTTATCCTAAAATATACATGATGATAATAAGATATTATTTTCGTTTCATACACTTCAGTTATACTTATAATAACTTACTCGAATAATTGAATACAAAATAGCTGTAATAGATTCAAAAATTCTAATGTAATTGATGCATTCTACAAATAAATTTTAAGTCGATATAAAGTGTTTATAAAAGTACTTTAACAATCCTTTATTCTTTCGTAATTTTTTTACAAAATTATGATTCGATTATAAATTTCCTTTGACAAAGATTTTACAAATAAATATGTATAGTTTTCCGGTAATTGTACAATTTATAACATATTCGTTTCATTAAATTTCACTTTACTTTACAAACAGAAAAAGAACATCAAATAAATTCAACACATACAATATGTTATCTTTTTAATGTTATTTGTCATCAGAACATCACTTCCAAGCAAAATATTCCAAACCTATTTTTTCATGTTAATTTCAATTTGTAATAGTCTTTACTATCTTGTAGTTGTTACAATAGAAATAGATACTGTAGCAAAACGTATAGATGCAATACAAAATGTTATATATAATTCAAAAGAGTATATTACTATTTTTTAGTTTCATTATCTACTATAATAAATATAACTCGATTCTAACATTCTGGTTCATCGTTTATATAAATTAGTTCTTCATAATATAATAAGTTCCTTAATTTTAACATTTAGAATATGAACATTTTCGATGTTACATCCGTTTAATTTCGTTAATTAAACATTATGTTACATTCACAAGTACTGTTAGTGGTACATAAAATATTATAATACTTGTTTCGTAATTTTATGCCTCAACATAAAAAACCAAACAATAAAAAAAAATGAACATACATTACTTTTCTTTAAGAAATCGTAAATTTAGTAATAACTTAATATGATCTGGTGCTTTTTAGATATTAATATAATAAAAAATAGACTTTTATTTCACAAATATTATTTTGCTAAAAATGTTTGTTACTAGCTTTTTCCTTACATAATACTTTAAAAACAAGAATTATTTATAATCCGTTAGTACAAGATTTTTAACCGATTAACTTTACACCGTCCTAATTGTTACTTATAAGCAAAGCTATGTTACAAAAAATATATCTACTCTTAAAGTAAAAAATAAATGATCAAAGAGGTACACTGATTCTATCTATAGAGGTACAATGTTGTATCCAAAATATTGAACTTCATTATACAAGGTCAAATGTGTTTTTCTTAAGTGGGTGGTCACTAATCTAATTATACTATAAATGAATATGAAATTCATGGCATTACATTTAATACATACTATTTCATAGAAAGATTTATCAAATTCTGGTAAATACATGGAAAAGTTTTAGTAAATGAAGCTTGTATGCATGAACTTCTATATAACTGTTAATATCCAATACTTGTCCGTATAAACAGATTCTTAGCAGAGAGAATTTTTGTGATACTTCTTCGAGAAACAACACATGTGTTAAAAAATGTATAATTGTTTCGAAATTATCTATGTGTGTTATGTTCTCGAACTATTATTGAATACTTTTAATTCATAACTACGACTTTAATTTAATTCTGTTATACCACTTTGTTAATTATGAACACATTAGTAATTACACCATGCAGCATTTTTTTTTATTTTTCTTATAATTCGGTTTTAACGGTGGTCTTTCTGATAATTGAAACTTCCTGACAATTTTCACTAATTCGTGAAAAGCTTGATCAACGTTCATTCTCAGTTTTGCACTACATTCGATGTATGGAATTTTTAATATGCGAGCCATATTCTGCGCCTCTTCGACAGACACCTAAAATAGACCAAATCACATTAATATAATATAATACTATATATTCTTTATGTACATTCAATTCACTTACAACTCTTTGATGGTCTAAGTCCGCTTTGTTACCAACCATAAGCATAGGAAATTCATCACGGTCTTTCACTCTTAGAATCTGCCTATGGAATTTTAACATTTCGTCGAACGATGGATGATCCGTTACCGAAAATACCAGGAGGAAACCTTCGCCACTCCTCATGTATTGTTCACGCATTGCACTAAATTCTTCTTGACCAGCTGTGTCCAATACTACAAAATCGTATATAATATATACAAAATTATATACAAATCATTAGTGACACAGCTATCGTTAGCTGTGACACTAAGATAATTACACATATATTTATAAACTCTTTTCGAATGTACAGAATGTGACCATCTTAACTTTTTTAGTTAAATATTCAATTCTAATAAATAAGGAATTATAATCTTACGATAACAAACCCATGTTTCATTATGGAACTGCATGAAAATCAACATAAAATTTAATAAGTTATAAAAGTTACTATAATTAAGAAAACAAGATTGAAACAATAATATGTGTAGAGTATTGCATCGTTCTTGATATACTCACTGTCAAGTTTTGCAGGAACATCATCAATGACACATTGTTTGGTATAAGAATCTTCGATAGTTGGATCATAATCAGTTACAAAATAACTCTGAAAAATATTAATTAACATAAACCTGAAGGTATATAAAATTATCGAAGGATAAATAAAAACAGATATTAAAAGTTATGGTAAATGTTAGTGTATTTGTCTTTATAAATAAAAATAAGTAGCAATAGTGCTATTCCGATTCATTTTTAATTTAATACAATTGTTCTTTTCTAAACGATAAGTCACAGATAAAATTGAATACCACACACGTAACATTCCTTATCTACTGATACTGATTAAATTATATTAAGTTGTTTAATTTGTTACAACATGAAGCATATCAAAATAATATTCCGCAATTTCGTTGAATGGAATATGATAAATGTAAATAAATAAGTAGACTTCAGATATTTATGTAAACTTACATTTTATAAAGATAGAAGTACAAACAGAATTTTCTTCTCCCAAAGATTTTAATGTGTTAAGAGTACAATAAAAAATTGATTAAATCTTATATAAGATTTGTTTTTTTTTCATTGTACTTCGTGTAGCTCTATATACTATAAACGCGTAAAATTCCCAGTCTATACGTATACATGTAGTTATATCGATGTCGAATCTGTGGTTGTATGACATAATCAGTATTAGAGGCATCGTTCTCTCAATGTTTCTCGAGCGAGTTTCTAAAATTGTTCGTAGGGAGGTTTTTAACGTCATACATATATAGACTACGGATATTTACGCGAATACAGACTTTTGAAGGCTAATTTACATTAACTAGAGTCAGATAGTAATTCATTTACTTTCTTAAAGATTTCGTCAGGTACCAAATGAACTTTATTTAACTCTTTATTATATTGAGAAATAACCATATATGCTACAAACACACGAAATCCAAGGTCTCGTGATAAATAACAAAAAAAAGTGTTTTATTTTTTTTATTCGAATTTGCCAGTGATAGTTTCGAAAAAAAGCAAATACCATCGACAAGTTTCCCTAAACACAGAACTATTATATGCACACATACGTACTTAGTAAGGTACAAAATTATTTATTTTTTATTCACACAAATATGTCTGTTAAAATATAGAAGAATAATACAGTGTTAATAACAAAGTATTTTCTTAATTGTCTTCCAATAAATTTGCATTGGGCCAGAAACTTTTGGGCACTACTTACATGTCATATATGTACATATATAACATGTGTACACAGTATCGAGTGTACACACGTACATCGGGTGCACCTATTGGCCATAAAAAGTACTTACTTGAATGAATTGTATTGTGATCGCAGATTTTCCGACACCACCCCCACCCACAACAACCAGTTTATATGTCTGCGCGTAGGATTGCTTGTCACCGGGTTTCGACATTTTTGGTATGGCGACGAAGTTGGCGAAATTTCAGATAAACGTTCACTGACACATATTGAAAACCGCACGGTATATCGTGGAGAAAAATGAAAAATCGAGGCGCGTTCACATACAAGCCCACGGGCGGTCCCCTTTTTTTTAATATATATATATATATCTACGAACGGTGGACACACGCGTCAGACGCCTCGTATTTTCTTGGTGCACCAAATAACACGACTATTCACCGTCTAGGCACACTAACGTATCGTAAGTCTCTCATACGCGCAAAGTTACTGAAAACCGTAGTAATGAACGGAGCGAGAGAGACACTATAAGAGATGTCCCCACCTTGTATGTACATAATAGGGCTACATACATATGCATGTGTACACACACGCTATTTCGATTGATTGCGCAGCCGCTATTACGATACCGCCCTCTCGCAAGCGCCTATGCCTACCTGAAATACATACTTCAGCTGCGTATACACTGGGGTAGACGTCGCGCGATTTCTTTCGCGACAGACCCATTGGCGTAACTAGAACTTTTTTCTGGGGGGGGGGGGGGGAACGAGCAAATTCTATAGACGATCTGACACCAATGGAAAAATGTTTAATCATAAAGTGTGCAATTCTCTACACCGTTTAAAAAAATATTGAATATAATTGAAAATCACAAAATAAGAGATAACTCCCATTTTAATTTGTGATGTTCGATGTATCGTCGGGTAAATAATGTAACTATTTTAAGGTCGGTGTACCCTCCACCGACGAGCAAACTCGGCTTCCACTAAGGAAAAAGTGGCGTAGAAGAAGTCTTCTATCACTTCGTAAATTTATTTCAAGATCTGAAATACATGTTACACCGAATGTTAATTTGGCATAAATTTCAGAAACTTCCGATTCAAATGGTAGAAGGCCCTTTCCCTAGGCCAATTTTTCCCCTAAGGAAAATAGTGACGTAGAAAAAAAGTCTCTTACCACTAATGTCCATAATTATTTACAAATTTGGTTAACACTAAAACTAAGAATAAAAGGATATAAATATAATTCTTAAGAATAAAAGAAATTTGAGATTGATTACAATCAAGAGTATATTATGAGCAGATACCTATAATTAAAACCTATTATATATAAGCTTCAATTTGCTGTTTTTTTTCGGTAAAAATATTTTTCACATTCTCGAGCGCTAGTTCCCTTAATTGCATCCGACCCTTCAATTGATGTTGCAGGATTATTAGTTAAGTAGAATGTAAAAATTAAACAGCTTAATTCTAATACAATTTTGCTTAATACTTTAACGTAATCAGGATAGTATTTTATTTTTTGTACTTAGTTGCGTTGCGTATCGCAGTTAGGCCCAAGTATTTATTTTTTATAACATAAGATTTTGCCAACTGCCGAATGTTTTTTTTTACATATTTCAATAATTTCTGAAGGGGGGTTCAGTTCGTATTCTAAGGGCCGTGGCGGGGGAGGGGGCAGGCCCACCCTGGCTCCTACCTAGTTACGCCAATGGACAGACCCAAAACAATTAAGTAAATGGATGCATGTTCTCCCCCAAATTTTCTCCACATTTAGTGCAAATGTCGACCGAGTAAGGTATTTTTTTTTATTAACGCCGCATGTAATGTGATCTATATTTTTATCAAGAAACAGATGATGGGTAAGTAGCTTTCTGGAGAAAAGTGACGTATCTGTAAATGTATATTTAACAGAACTGAAGGCGTCTGCGAATTTAAACTGCACCACTTTTTATCGACAATTCAATCCCTTTTTTCCATGTAGAAAATTATAACTTTATATTATGCACTTTAGACTCCATTTACCACCTTGGTACATTGAACGTTGTGAAAACACATAGGCAAGCATTTTTGACGTGACATTTATGATTTTTAATTTACGGATTCCACGGTAAATCTTAAGATCGGGATATTTCAATAATATTGGAACAATGTAATTTTGCTTATCGAATTGCCATTTCTTTACTGCAGTTGTATTTTCGGGGCATGACGTTTCATCACGGACTTGAGATTGACTGGAAATTTTTGTTGTTTCTGTTTTATCGCACAGCGTTTCCCATCCCCAAAGAGAAACACAGAAATCGATCGATCTTCAATTCTTCAATTATCCAATCGCGCATATATAACAATTCTGTTCCAGAGAAAATATTGCGCGACTTGCATCGCAGTGTATACATATGTATGTAGTCTAAAGTTGAATGAATACGATACCATGTATTCTTTGTACGATATTTCTAGAATGATGTCAGTTTAATGTTACTTTTTAAGATCATACATGATCTGAAGTGTCTGTTACTTTACACTTTCCAAATGGCCGTTTTGTGTATATGTTACACATTTATCTCTAGATACATTCTTTATTTAGCATAATTAAATCATCAGAGCTCTTGAAAGGGGTTGGTATGATGGTCATATGTTGTAAATGTTACTGGCAGCGTTACGAATTATTAATTTAATTAATCGTATTCTTACAGGGATAAAGAGTATGAAAATTCGGTGTGGTGATAATTAATGTTTAATTACGTCATTCTTTTTATTATTGAAATTACAGTTTCTTAATGTAAGAAAATTATTCCAATGTCATGCTCAATCTTTTATTGTTCAAGATGTTTCTGGTATTGAGTTGTAATAACGGATGTTTGATCTTGAGTTAAAAATACGTCATTTGTAAAAGAAAATAATTATTCTACATGAATTTAATGCCAATCGCAACATTGAATCACATAAAACATTAATTGTATAGACTAAAAAAGTATAATGCAAATGATGTAAAGAACTTTATTGAAGTGATGTATTGACATTAGGAATAAATTGATTATATATCAATAATTAAAATTTGGTTTATTACTGAATCCCCTCTGTATCATTGTTGATAGACATTAAATATAGATATTTGTTGTATTTAATTTAACAGTAATTTAATTGGATGATAACTAAATGAAATTAAACGTTGCGCATTAAGATTACATTTTTTCAAATGTAGCTTTAGTATGTTGGGTTCTTCTTTTACTTGGTCATAATTTATACATCATTGTTCAACAATCAAGCTAAGATAGAATTGCAGAAGTTCAAAAGGCACGGGTCTTCATTTAGAATTCACAACAGTATTTTTAACTGACCATTTCATTGCACTGATTGCAATGTCTTGTTTCTAGAAATGCAGAATTTTCACGAATCACAGCATAAATAATATGTTATTATCTTTAATCTCTTCTGATGAACTGTAAAAATATTTACCTAATCATTTAGAAATTATATTGAATAAGTTTTTAACTGAAAGTAACACAAAATATATACATACATACGAATCAAACTATATATATCTATATATATATATATATCTATATATATATATATATCTATATATATATATATACTTTGAAACTATTAAAAACTAAATATATGAATGTGTTATAGTATTTAATTTATATTAATTCACGTTTTTAATATTAAATACAAAGGTACATAATGTCTGTATAAACAGATTACTTATGATATACTCGTAAAATAAAGCCTTTTTAATCAATAGAAATGGACAAGTGATATGAGAAACTATAAAAATGTATATTTACATTATCATGGAAACATCTCACTACTTTTAATCCTTATTACAATATTCAATTTAAAACAGATTCGCAATATTTATTCCTCCTTTTTCCAAATAATTTTTGATGTAAAAATTTAATATATAATATGAAATGTAAATGTACGAGAAATGATTGAACAAAACCAAACAAAAGGTTATTGTTATTATAAAAGAAAATTAAAACACATATAAAAGGAAAGATTTTCTTTTCTAATTCATAATGTTTGACAAAGCTTTCATTATACACGGTATAGTTGCATAATATGTACATTTGTTTTTCTCCTTTTACATAACATAATGTTATTTGGTTATTACGAAAAATGTTAATATATTTTGGTTCCGGTGTTTACGATTTTGAATGATATATTTACAGTTTGAAATCATAAAATCTCTTTTACGTTTAAAAAATTACACAATATTGAGATATTTGGAACATGGGAAATTGCACGTAACAAATCCTTCTTTCCATTGATATAATTATATTATGATTGTTTCACTTTTATATAATTTTTTATTTAGTAACAGTTCCTTCTGAAAGTATTCAAGAACACATGCAATGAAACTGAGACACAAAAATTTAGAGTTTACTTGAACTGAATTTCATTCATTGCAAGTTTGTGCAATATTCCCTTTACTGCAAGTATATGCAACGTAATACCTTATGTGACAAATATTATTTTTCTTTTAAACTTTAATTAAGGCCCCGTTACATTCGGTTCAACTACTTTTACCACGCTCAAATAATTATTCATCAGTCTGTGAGTATCTATTCATTTTAATAAATATTTCCAAATCATAAACAAAATACGAATTGTCAGCGAGCATTTAAAATTGCTATTTATGCACGGTACAACTTTTTGCTGTAATTATTCTTCAAAAATTTTTCGCCCAACTTGATTTTTCAAGAATATGTTAAAATAATGATATATTTGTTTCAATAAATCAAATGGTACCTATAACGACATGATGACCATCCATACCTTTCACACATGTTTTTCTTTTTAAAACATACAATGTCACTCTAAACATAATTTCCAAAATAATTTTTCTTTCTTTGAATAGGCCAAAGTACAATATTTCATTTGAATCGTGTGCCTTGCTGTTTTCCTTGCAAAAGAACGAAATCATTTGAATAACTTATAGGAAGTAATCAAGCGTGTCATATTGTCTAATACAAATGGTTATATAAATGTTTAGAAAAAATTATTTATTCTATTTCTCTGTCCTCTAGTTCGAATACTTATAAAAAATTTCAATAATTTTTAAAAAAGAAAGACCCTACGAATACGGTGCCGGAGTCATTTTTGACTCATCTCGTGGAGTAACTCGACTCGAATTTCGCTAGAGAAAAAATGACGCAGGAGAAAGGTCTTCTATCACTTGATCTCAGGAGTTACTGAAATTTATGCCAAATTAATATTCGGTTTAACATTTATTTCAGTACTTGAAATAAATTTACCAAGCGGTAGGAAGCCCTTACTTCTACACCGTTTTTTCCTTTAGCGAAAGCCGAGTTTTCTCGTCACTGTAGATATATCGGTAAGGGTCCGAATTCGAGCAACACTGTCACTGTGGTTAGTATATTATCGGTCTGGGATCAGAATTGACTCTGGCATCGTACTCCGCGGTTCCGTGTTTCGAGGACTAATTTACATGTACCTTCGATTGTGTTCATTTTGCAATTGTTTAGTCAATGACGTGCCGAATCTTGTCTTTGCAACAATTTGGATTTGATTTTTAATAACTATAGTTATAGCGATAATGTTAATGACAATGACAATGAAGGTGGTACTAGTATAATATACACAACAAAAGAGAAGCATTTAGGGAGTACCATTCGAGCACAAAGATAGACCTGTTCTGTCACATGTAACAATGCTACACATTATACCACATGTCCCTCTTTTTATATCTTGTTATTAAGTTTTTCCAGATATTTATATTTTTTTTTTTGGTGAAATTGTTTTTTTGTATGAAACACTTCGCGTCACAATGATGAGCAATGATAACGATAACGATCATAATAGTATAATAATAATAGTAACAACAGTAACAATGATAATAAAGGTGATGATGATGATGCTTCATGTTCACTCTAACATGATTAATTTAACCACTGAAATAATGATTTCAATTCGAATAATAATGGAAACCATAATGATGACAATAAAGGGTGGTAGTAACGTGTGAGCATGTATAGAAATAAAGAGCAATCGTAAATTGCAATACAAAAATTGGTTTAATAGAGTGATCATCGATCAATCTCTTTAATATTTCGTAGGGATTCTTCACAAGTTTGGGAATAATAATAGAATAGGATAATAAAATTACTAATCAATAATAACATAAGGCAATATGTGAAGGAGTTGGCCATTGTAACTGGGCCTTGTTAGCATCTGATGCCATTCTCGAAATTCTTCGTCGGGTCGGCTATACACATTCTTTACACCATTGATCTCAGACGTTCCCTCCTTTACTTCTTGTCTCTCGTTACAGGTAGAAGTTAAAGATGATAATTTTGGTTGGAAGTTTCCATTTAGTCCTCCTACACACTCGGTGTGTAACCTTTTTATGTCGTCCTCTGAAATTTGCCTAGGTGGGTACTCAGTATTGTTCTGATCATCGGTCAATTCTGTTTCACTTTCACCCCAATCGATCGTACTTGGATCTATAGGTGGTAACTTGGCTAGTATTTCCTCCACTGTTAGTTCCCGTGACTGTTCCAATTGTGTTTTTTGACAATTCGTAACGGATTTTTCTTTATACACTACACCCGATTCCTGACACTTCGATGAAACGTCATGACAGTTCTCTGTAGGTTTTAACCTATTCTCCGGCAAGCTTTCTGAAACTGTATTTCTATGCGACGAATTGTTCGGCGTACAACGAAGGAACTTGGATACTTGTTCGTTGCTGCCTCTCAAAATATCTTCCATGCTGGGCGATTCTTCGTTTTGACTAGGTAGAGTACTTGAATTAACGCTAGAATTCGTACCGCGTGCCCGCAGATCAGCCAGCAGTTCTTGTGTTGTCTTTAATTTCGGATTCCTCGAGATACTAGCTAGTTTTTCTTTCACACGGTCTTCTAATATCGGCTGCTTCTTCATAGACTTGCTGCCTTTCTTTCGACCACGTTTCTTTGGACCTGAATCGTCCGGATCGGTGGAGGACTCCACGAAATGATCAGAGATTCGTTCTTTAAATGTCGGGCTAGGCACTTGCAAATTTAAATTACCACTTATATTTTCGCCGTTGAGACGTTGCTTTTTAAACGGTTCACTTTCAGTAACTGAGTCTGAATCATGATGCTGGTCATTTAAATCATCTTTTCGAAGGCGTTTGTTGGAACTGTGAGTTCGTGGCACTGCTTCCGTTGCATGATTTTGGCTCGATGAGCCAAGCATAGAGGTCACATCGGAACTTGTTTTGTGGTTGCTGGTCACTGTAATTGACTGCTTGTTTGATGATGCGTTAGGAGAATGTGAATGTTCACTATGCACAGATAAAGCTGGGCTAAGCACCTGTAAACGGATTATTAAAAAAACTTATACATGTAGCCTGCTAACTTCGTGAGACATAATTATTGCATACGCATAATAACATTCAGTACACTTAATTCTCCTTTTCCACAATATTTTTTACCTAACGCAATCTCAGTTTAATTGTAAAAAAAAATATTCCCACTTCTTTTTCTAGATAATTACTCTAAAAAAATTCTTGGATTTTGCATTTAAAACACTTTCAAGTAATTGATTTATCTCTAAAGTGCATAAAAGACAACTAAAGATTTTAACATAGTTTTTATATTGTTTCTTTCAACACATCCGAATTGGTTTATTGTATTATTTTCATTGCTTTTTGTGATCTGGATGCAAAACTTAATTTTTTCACATCGTTTTTTTTACACACATTTTTGTGAAATGTATATACTGTATGCAAACAGAATCAAGTGTATTTACAATAATAATATAAAGGTAAACACTGTTCGTTTGAGATGCACTTTTCTTCTGCACTCCTAGAAATGAAGAAAAGCCAGACCTAACTGGCCTGTATCTTCCTATGTCAATTTTGAGACATATCATTGCACTATACTAATCAAAAACTGTAGTTCAGCTAGAACTGTCTTAGTTAACTTACGTGAGTGCATGAAAATGATTAATTAATGTTTAAATTTAAATTATATATTTGAACTTGTATGGATAAGTATATTATAAGCATACATTGATGCTAATTTCTCATGACTTCTTTCTTAATATAGTACTATATATGCCATATTCTCGACACTTATCATTACACAGCTTTTTCTTACACAAAACTATTTAAATAACTACAACAGAACAGTAGCAGAGACTTCCTAAAAGTACTTCTAAGAATTGATTTAAAGATCTGAGACACCAAAGACACTGTACTAATACAGAAGAAAACTGCTTTGACAAAGCACCAATATATAAATACATTATATTCATGCTTATAAATTCAGTCCCAGAATATTCTCAACATAGATCGTATAATAAATAGCATATCGAATAAATTCGAGCATGTAAAAGTTGACAACTTACTCTAAGAGGTATAGTATCCCTCAACAATGGACTCTGAGGTTTCAGCCCTCTTAATGCTGGACTTTGCGGCTTCAAACATCTTAGTGCAGGACTGTGTGGTTTTGCGCCATTGAGAGTAGGTGGTGCCGTATCGGCTGGGGTTGGTTGTGGGGTAGAGTTAGCGGATGGTAAAACCATGTCTCGCCATCGCCGTACCAAATCCTTTGCACGCTTGGCCAATGCTTCGTTATTTGTCTTTCGTCGAAGTTCATTAATGTGTTTTCCAAGTCTTGTAAGCTAAAGTAGTATATATCATACTTAATAGTTATTAACGACGCATAAAAGTACAAAATAAAAACAAGAAATAACAGTGCAATAGATGAAACAGTTTACAATATTAATAAAGTTATATATATTTAATGTATCAGTACCTCAAGCAATTCCTTAGTGATCGCCGTCTTTTCCAGGGCCGTAATGACATCCACAACAGCTCCCATATCGACGACCTAAAAATTTTTGTTTGTATTTCTTTAATTGAACATTTCTCCTTATATGTTGATATATTTGCATTATCATTTAATCTGTATAAAAATCGCAAATTACTTTAAATTATACTAATTCATTGATGTAGTTAATGTACTGATTTCATGTAAACTAAGAAATATTTATATTAAGATAAACATGAATTTCTTACATAATTAATTGTTCAAAATAAATAATGTATAATATTGAAACAAATATGTTAAGTTTTGTCAAACTATACCTTCTTAAAAAAATACCTGAAAGATTAACATAGTTCTACTATGCAGTACTGAAGAAACATCTGATTGAATATATCAACATAAAGTTAAGTGTTGTTTATTTTAAGACTATTATTAAAAATAACAATATATAATCAATGAAATTTTTATTTAAAGAAAAATTTGCATGTTTGACTTTACATATTTTTGTACAATAATTTATGTATTGTTTAATGATCATGTAAAATGTTTGCATTAAGTTAAACAAAACAAAGGTTAAACTTGTATTGGTATAGTGACACATCGCTCAATTGATATACACATAAAGTTTCAGGCCTCTGACAGATCAATCTCTGTATTGCTTATCAACATTCTGTACTTCTACATTAAGATCAGTTATCAATTTTCCCTCAACGATACACATTATTCAGTGGTTATAGCTTTACAATAAAAGTATTAAAAATCTATCCTTCTTTTAATTATATAGTATATAATATCGATTTTATGATGAAACACTGGAACATATTACTTTGAAATAACTACATAACAATAAAATCATACTGCTTTAATAACAGAGATAAACTTTCGGATAATAATACACTGACATATTCCATATGATTCACAAACGATATTTTCATAAACAAGATATATACAAATATAAAATGCAATAGTCAACACGTGTCCATGGACATCCTTTAAATATGGGGCAAACGACGGTACATCTGACTCACACTAAAGTACAAAATATTTATTGAAAATTCTCGGTCGTATACCGAAACGGCGATCGGGCCAGAAGCAAAAAATTCCAATTCACTTGAACGCGATCTCATTTTGGAAGAATATTCGAAATCGTTCAATGTTAATTAACAACTTATATGTATAGGAGTGCAAGGACAATTGTGTAAGTATTGTAAAGTATGACGACGCTGCTATAACGAAAATAAAGGCTACAGAGAAGAAAAGAAATGAACGGAAAGTAAAGGGAAGAACGAAGGGGGGAGTGGGTCTGTTTAAACATCTCATCTCGATTTTGAACCATTTCGTTGCAATATTAAGAGGTTATGCTCCAGGTAGTCGAGAATGCGTTTACGCTCCCGACGGTGCACACACTCGTGCCACAGAGAAGAGATTCGCCGGACTGGCATCGTACGTACACACAGGAAACGTATTACTCACTCACACGCGGAGCCGCCGCTACACTACATTCTTAGTGACTCTCGCGCACGCCACTGGTACAGGCACACGGCGCACGGGGGATCGAGAGTGGCCCGATAGCCGTTTGCGTGAGCGGACGGATGGCGCATCGCGGATTCATTCCGCTACTTACATTGTATTCCTTGTCAAGAGATTTCAACAATCTTTCGGTGAGCTCGGTGCAATATCTCTGCATCGGGGGGGCACACTTAGGGCCCTCGCGGGGAGATTAGGTTAGCGGAAAATCGGCTCCACGCGTACGAGTGTCACGAATACGAGAGCACGGGGGGACTTGCAATGGCGACTACTGAACTGTGCTCCGCTCGCATGCCCTCCCTGCCTCCCAAGTGCCTCCTAGTCGCAGCCCATGCATCGTCCCTAGCCCCACGCCGCCACATACTGCGCGAGGCAAGCGCTACTAGCTCCTCTCGTGGTTGGATGAGACTCCCGACCATTACCACACCTCTCATCCATCCCCACTACCGATCGAATGGCGCTGAACGCGATATGAACTTTCCGTAGTTCACGTCAGATGCGCCGGTGGTAAAAATCATGCCCTTGACCTATAATAACCTAACCATTTTTCATCTCATAAATCGTATATGTGATTCGTGAGAGTTTGACACAGCTTAAATTTTATTTTTCAATTACGTGTATAGTATTAATAGTAAAAACCAGTTGTCTACCCTATTCCAACCATCTAGTGGTCGTCAGCCGAAATGAGTGCTTTCTCTCTTGTACCGTGATATTCAATGGCCAATCCGCAGCGCCAGTTCGAGTGAGACGAACTATTTACGAAGTACTGCGACAGTTTCGGCAGTGTTCGCGCGTTTGATGTACGTTCGCTCCATTCGCGCTTAACCTAAATAGTGTTTTTTACGGGAAACAATTATATTCGTTCCTTTGATTAAAATACGTTTTTAATTAAAAATTTAGGTTGTGTATGATTAAGTATACATATTTCGCTTGTATTGTATCTACTAGTGCATTTGTTTGTGCAGTTAAACAGAGTGTATTACAGTTTCCAGTGCAATTATCTATCAATTTAAATTACTTTTAATATAGAATACGATACCTACTAGTGGATGATAGGAGAGAAGAAACGATTTTTCTCAAATCTATTTACATTTTATTAATTAAAATATTATTGGGATATTGTGAAATACTCAAAATTATTTGTGATTATTGTACGAATAAACGTGTCCCAGTTAAGCCTGGCGCTGCAAATCGACCATTAAATATTCCGATATAGGGGAGAGCTCGCATTACGGTTACTGTTTGTTGTTTGGAGCAGGAATCTACTTTGTTTAACGGTGTAACCGGAAGTTAATATAGTTGTCCGCTTTATCGTCCAAGAGACATTGTGAAAAACAATAAGGGTGTGTGGGTACCTGAAATTATGGTTTCAAGACGGACGGAAAAATTCGTACAAGATCGAACGTATTGCTTGGAATTCCGAGACTCGATTTGACTTATTATATATTAACCCTTTACACTCGACTGTCGCCTCTAAAACGACAAAATATATGGAAAATTAGAAATTCCGAATGCAAAGGGTTAACAGAACTATCATAATACAGACTAACATAACAGAATATCGAGATCTTGCCCGATTATCGTATCAAAAAAAAATATAATTCATTGTGTATAAATTGTGGATACTCTGTATAAATAGTCATTTTACTAAATTTAATTGTAAATATTTCATATTTTATTAATCACATCAGTTATCTAAGTGTTTTAAATTTAACTTAAAACTATTAAATATTACATTTTAGAAATTTGAAATGTTTGAGGATATACAAATGTGATTGAACTTGTTTCCTAGCGTACATGGATTTTATAACATTTTCACTTCAACAGAATGAGGATAAATAAAACGTACGGCTCTCTAAATCTTTTAATTCTACACTGTTAAATCTTTTCAGATTCTGTCTAATCTTTCTCATTAAATTTCGTTGACTGAATATGTATTATTCTAAATACTTAATTAATTGTATATAAATTAATTTGAAAAATGCTTGACTTTTTCAAGGATATATATATATACAGACATATATACGTGTACTGTGTATAACCATATATACCTATACTATATACGACACTACGAGTATTCGCTGAAGAAGATAACCTATTCATTTCACACAAAATAAATTTTTTTTACATATTACATTTGCATTACTGTGCTAATGATTAAAAAGTGAAGAAATTTAGTTAAACGTTTTGACATTTAACGGTATAGAGATGTAATATAACGTTTTAGTTTAAGAAATGCATTAGAAGAGGTTATCTGAAAGCTTATTACAAGTTCATTATATATAATAGATGCGACCGATCATATACATGTTCAATTGCCATTGTGTTTCGAAGATATTTAACCAGTTTAACGTATACAATAATGACTTCACATGGAAATACGCGTAGTATCGTGCATCTGTAAAATGGTTTACGTGTAATTTAAATCGATGAACATCGAGAAAACATCTGTTTTGTGCATGAAAATTGTAATGTAAATCATTAATTAATATTTAAACGAATGACAACATTAAATACATGTGGTTAATTTCTTTTATCTAGAAGGAAGGAGATACAAGACACCACCAGGATATGAGAAGTGAAGTAAACAATAAAATAACTGTTTTCCTGATTAGTTGTATAATTGTGATAACACCAATGTATATTTACCAAATGGGAAACGAAAGTGCATTAGCCACTGTAAAAGATCATTTATTCATGTTATTAACTTTTAATATGTTATTCATGACTGTAGATCTTTTGATGAAATTTTTCCAAAACTGGTTTTTCGATGAGTCTTTTGAAAGTGTTGTTACAACAAAAGACACATTTCAGTTATCGTTCATGATAATCTATTGTGTTCACATAATAATTTTTATAATTATCATTGTTAGTAGATACGAAGAGTTTTGTAACAGCTTAAACAAACTGAATATATTCAGAAGCATTGTTTGTGGTGTGTTCTCGTTTGTGCTCCTGAAGATTATGAACTTCCTTAAATGGAAAAGTGAACATATTTCTATGATTGATGCGATGCAGGGTCTGGATTATGGAACTGGTATGGCATTCAGTTATTATTACGGATATTTGAGACTTGTACTGCCTTCTACTGGTACTCTTCATAAAGGTCTGGTAGAAAAAATTGAGAACATCGAAGATAGCCATAACATAACGTTGGCTACTCACAAATTATTGATTTTAATTCCTTCGTCGTCATATATTCCACCAGATTTAAAAGAAGCTTCTTATAAGTGGATGGAAAGTGTAGTTGAGTTAGAAGAAGAACAACGCGATCGAGCGGGAGTAAAGGGAAGGAAGTATCGTAATAATGTGTATAAAATTTATCAGAATGGTGTGAGATTAAATTCCAAGCCTCTCTATGTAGTGGCAGAGGGTGCTACACCTCTGGTAACATTCTACGAAGTTCTAAAACATAATCATACTGAGACGAATGTCTACCAGAAGTATAACAGAGATATTATAAAAAGTTTCTATAAAAAATTGAAATATTTAATAGATAACGACCCAGAATGTACAGATATCTGTGAATTAATTTATTATAATGATTATAATGATAACGGTACCAAAGTTAATGTTGCACAAGTTATTATAAACAGGTTATCTCAAATTTATGGTCCAGAGCACACTTGACACTATAAATACACAGTTGACAATCAGTATGAAACTATGTTAGTTAAGAAAAAATAAAAGTTTTGTAATTAGATTATTATAATGAGTGATTATTATAAGTGCTCGAAACTATACTATGTAAAAATTACACAATGACAAGTTTTATTAATATAAATGTACAGATTAATTTCTAAATTGTTATAAATTGTAATAAATGAGACCAAAAAGTATCCTCCATTTTACTAAATTTTAGTCCATCATATATAAACAGAAAACTAGGATACATACATGTATTTTAGAAGTAAAGAAGCAATCGTGAATAATACAAATAGCTATGAAAAATTTCACCTCAATGTGGACATGTAAAATAAATATAGGAAATAACCTGAAAATTATCTATGAAGTGTCTGTGTGTAATGTCAAAATATTATTTATTAATAATGATACCAATTTTTGCAATACAGTATATAAAATAATGCATTTATTGTAATATTTCTATTTATCTTCACTGACGACTAATTGGATGAATTATTATCACTGTGTCAATTATATTTAATATTGTCAGATGACACTGTTTTGAAACTTATACCTACATATAAGGTGTCCGATAGTGCATTTATACAGAAAGGTACATTACTAATACATTTTCCTTATTTAAATTGATTATTACTATTCACAGAAATGGCTGATACAATGTAAACACATTGCAATCACAGATTCTTTTTACATATCCATTTCAAACTGTTCCGCAGTTTCCTCAATCACTGGGGTATCTGTAACACATTACATGCAAAGATTTGATTAGATATATTATTTTATTTATTTTTTCATTTAAACACATAGTCAACTATATTTTATCCATATTCGGGACACATTGTAGCAGTCAATTGAATTAATGGTTTCTTAATTTGTTAACGAATGTTTTATTGTAATAATTACGAGCAAAAAATATTAAATCATATATGTACTCACATATATGATTAGTATGGACACTTTGTAATTGTATATTTTACATTACTGCCGGATAAGAATATATATATACTTTTTGAATTTTATTTAAACAATTACATGTACATACAAGTGACAGAAAAAAATACAATCTGTTACTTTTGTTTTTAACTTTTATCATTAACCGCATCACAACTAGCATGTATCAAAATGATAGATATACAAGTATATAGAAAAATGAAAATATAATAGGTCAAGTGTTATAATTACACTGCAAATTTAATAAAATTTAAAAAGATTTCAGTTTCTGTAAATTAACCTATAAAATTCTATATTTCTATGAACGTCCACATTGTAGTTACGACTTTAAAGTAATTTTACATCTCCGACCACAAAGTCAATTACAGGATACTAACCTCTGTTAGTTTGAGTTTTCACAGGTGCTGTACTGTTCAAAGGTGTGTTTTTCAGTAATTCCGCTGGTATAGATGATATATTCTGAGGTGGTGTTCGAGAGATGGGAGAATTTTGTAAATTCATCAAGAAATCACGTTCATAAACTATGCGGGTACCTGTACAATTTATATTTGTGCAAATTAATTCTTTTTACATTTTTCTACGAAACCAGTCATTCATTCATGATTGTCAATACTCTCTCGCCTGATAGATTTTTATCTTCCTTATGCAAACGTCAAAATTTTAAGTGGCAATTCTACATTCCAAACTAGGACGGAAATCAAGAAAACAAAATTGCGTAAAGGCTTCGTTTCCGGGTTATTGTTGCAAATATGAGTGAAAAATATCTGATACAACAGATTAGACTAAATAATATGTAAATAAATTATTTTTCTGAAGCAATTATTAATTTTTTATAGTGATTTAACTTTTAGATCTAATAAAAATCGTGTACTACTGGGTAATGAGGTTTTTTAGATAACCATTCTTCCATTATATTTGATTTGTCATTTGCTATTGTAATAAGGCAATAAAAATGTTAAATAATTTAGAAGCTTTGAAAATTATGTATAGTTAAATGTATTTAAGTGGTTCAAACTAACACTGTAATTCAGAGTTCTAATTAAACCTTAATTATTAAAACTGAAATGACACAGATATGTCATACTATATCTTATAACTTAACAATTATAGTAGTGTGCAGAAAATATATTACATAAGTGCGTTACTGCATTGATCTACCAAAAATTGAATCAGTGTGTACTTACCAATGCAAATGAATATGTGATTTCATTAAATGTTTCTTTATCTCCTTTTATCTGCAGCTTTTACAAAATTATAATAACAATTATAATTATAGAATAATATTTTATTTAAAATTAGTTTAATTACAAATATTTACAAACTTCCCCTTGTATACATGCACACTATACACTGACCTATTAAGATGTGTATTGATAATATATTAATAAAGAAATACAAACTTTTTAATAATTATATCGCTCAAAAGTTATGATCAATTGCAAGAGATGTCTATAAGCACAATAATTTTGATTAGTCACTTCAGTAATTAATTAATGCGATACACATAGAGTCATTCAGAGTGTTCAATAACAGGTGCCAAAAAATTTAAGGGGTGATTCTATATAATAAAATAAAGACAAAAATTAAGAGTTACAGAATTACTGTTTTTAAAAATTAGAGTAACATCTGCCTGAAACTAGGGAATCCACAGACAACTCGCAAGTACAGGACGCTGAAGAGAGGGGCCTATCTACCTTTGCGAATAAACCCGGTTTCCACTAGGGGAAAAAGTGGGGTAGACGAAGGGCCCTCTACCATTTAATTTTGAGAGTTACTGAAATTTATGCCAAATTAACATTCGGTTTAACATTTATTTCAGTACTTGAAATAAATTTTGCCAAATGGCATAAGGAAAGGGCTATCTACCATTTGGTCTTGGGAATTACTGAAATTTATGCTAAATTAATATTCAATTTAACATTTGTTTCGGTAACTGAAATAAATTTACCAACTGGTAGAAGGCCCTTCTCTTACGCCACTTTTTCCCGTAGCAGAAACCGAATTTGCTCGTGAGGGTACACTTAAGAGCAAACTCGGGCTTCCACTAGGGGAAAAAGAAATGTAGGGGTAAGGGCCTCCTATCGTTTGATAAATTTATTTCAAGTACCGAAATAAATGTTAAGTTGAATGTTAATTTGACATAAATTTCAATAATTCTCAATACTAAATGGTAGGAGGCCCTTTCCTACGTTACTTTTTCCTCTAGAGGAAGCATTAATCGGCTTGACGTATAATGCCCCACAGTTGCCCACAGTTTATAAAAAACCATCGATCATAAAACACGTAACTTTCGTTATTCCAAGTGCACTGTTGTCAGAATTTGGTCACTTCTAGAAGTCCCATATAATGTGACTGGGTTTAGTGAAAACGAAGGTGGTTGAAATGCAGACACAAGAATGACACAAGAATGACCAGATATGGATCCAGATTGGATGATTGGATTTTGGCTCGTGAGGAGTAATAGTAGTTTCATGGAGTAGGTAGATTTAATGCTGTGCAAGAAATTCCTATAGCAAGGGCAAATAGATATCGTCAAAATTCCGACAGTTCTATAATATGTTTGTGGTCCCTACCAACTTTTTACAGCAACTGTAGACTCCTTTCTTCAGTTGCCTTATGCTCGCTAGTTGTCCGCAAATTGCCGAATTTCAGGCAGTTTTCATCTTCATTTTTAAATGCTTATAACTAAAGAACAGATGCTCAATGACAATTTTGTTATTCTTGATTTTTGTCTTATTTTATTATACATGGAAGATCTATGATATCTTGTCTATAGTGCTATTCATTTAAATAGCCTTAGACAAAAATATGTTACTTCAGATAAATACATGAATTGAACAGATTATCGATAAACTATGGTTTTTTTGTCCTAAAAATCAGTTTAGATAAACTGGACAATTATACATATTATTATCAAAATCTGTGAAAGGAAGAACAAATTCTTTACCATTGTCTCTTATTTGTTGGTTTTATTATAATACAGGGAAAAATTTTCTATATTGGAATCATTGAATTAATAATTGTGGCTTGGAAACAAGATTCAAAAAAATCTTTAAGTATTCTTGAGTATGTGGTTGAGGAAGTTGATAATGTTGTAAGGCAACATAATTAGATTTTGTCATCATGACAGTGTCCTAATATACTCAACACCTATGACGGAAGACTGATTTCATATTAAAAATGTTGAACTTATAACACAATCAACTGTGTCTCTAAAAACTTCAAATTACAAATATTTTGTTATTTATCTTTTGAAATGACACTTGAAGAGTTAAAGAGATACACATGTTTCATTCATAATTGCACCTAATTTAAATATTTCTCAGCTTCCAATGAAATATGTAATAAATATAATACAAATAAAAAAACCACGAGCCTTATCCTTTTATATTATCTGTAATGTATTAACCCTTGCCCTGCTGATGCTAGGTCATTTTTGATCCAAGTTTATCTCTAAAATGTAGCTGAGAAGACAACGTATATTGTGTGAAATATCTGAGTCACATATGCAAACAGCATAAGATAAAAGAAAATATTATTTTATGTATACACTGTATATAAACAAAATAGGTAATATATTTATAGAATTATTATATTTCTTTAACAAGTTTTGTTTTCTAATATCTCATAAATATTCAATGAATATTGAATATCTAAAGAGAAATTTAACATTATATAAAATGAAAACTTTAATACAAGTTAAAAGTAATCCCACATTGCTCTACCACACCTATGTTTTATGGTCTGCTGTTATATGGTTAAAAGAAGAGAAAAGGCTTTTGAAGTGAACAGTATTAGATCTGAATTAACCGATGCAAAAATTGACAAAAGGAGATTTAGGACTGTCCCAAGCTAATTTCAGTGAAACTGTGCAGAATGGCGATTAGATATGTGTACAAACCATTAGTTAAATTTTAGCCATACACTTTTGAGTAAATAAAGTTTAATGTTTAGAAAAATCGACTGGATTAGTAAATATATAGCACATTTTTCCTAACAACTAGTTTGGTTTTCCAAGTCTAGACGTTGTAAATGACAGTTTACTCATGTACAAACTATATTTTTGCTACATATATGCTCATTTTATATTCATATTAACATGATTCAATTTATGCTACTAAAAGTTTCATAATATAATTATATTCAACATATTTTAAGTAGACAAATAAAACAAAAAATACGTTTACGCAGACGTGTACTGGAGTAAATACGACAACTCCCCCTTGGTATTTCTAAGGTTAAAGTTCCATGCTGACTGTATCAGCAAACAAGATTATATTAATGAAAAACAAAAGCACTGACCTCCGGGTGTGGTTGAAAAAAGCGTTCCGCCAGGGGTGGACGAGTAATCAGCGGGTAACTGACTAGGATCAGTGAACAGTATTTTTTTCAAAGGTATACTTTGGCTCTGAGTAGCCTGCCTAGCGATGGGTGATGCAGACATGCTTGATTTTTAGGTTTCTTTGCACAGAGAAAAAAAAAGTATATTTAGTACGAGAAATTACGTGGAAAATAATAAGAAGATTTATGAACGATTCGTCCGTTCTGTTGACAACGAATCGTACTGCGTAATTCGTGAAAAACGACACGTTCTCCGCTCCGATTTTAAACTAGATATAAATACTGTAAGACTGTAAGTTAAGTAAAAAGTAAACAGAAAATCGGCCCGCGAGTTTACAGGTTTTATGCCCGCGATTTTTAAACACTATTATGGTCTATGTTTAAAATAAGTTTGAGCAAATATAAACACGTACGTAGACTATGAAAACGAACCTGAATCGCGTTCAACAATTCAAAGACTCATTAACACCACGCGATAAGTAATTGTTTTATGTAAGTTCACCACTTTTCCCTCTCCTCCCGGAGCTTCTAAAAAACTGTGGAAATATTCAGAGAAGTGTTCTCAGCGACGTCTACGAAACGGAACGGAACAAACATGCCAGGCCTGGTAACTGCTGGTAACTTCCAGACACTATCAGGCACTATCATAAACAATATCAAACAATATAATGTTCGAGGCACAATACAACCACAACGGCGTTTTATTTAAAACTATCACTAAATTGGATAATAATGTACCCTCACGAGCAAACTCGGCTTCCACTAGGGGAAAAAGTAACGTAGGGAGAATTATTGGAATTCATGCCAAATTCACATTCAATTTAACATTTATATCAGTTGTTGAAATAAATTTATTAAATGGCGGGAGGCCCTTACCCTTCGCCATTTTTTCCCTTAGCGAAAGCAGAGTTTGCTCGCGGGTGTACAATCGGTCGGTATCTTCGATTTTCTTCAAACTTTAATATATCGAAGGGGGCTCTCTAAAAAGGCAAAATATTTTAAAAAAGTCACAATGTTGAAAATTATTTTTTTTTATTAAACGAGTTCTAACCAACTCTGATCTGTATATAATGCTTTGAAAATAAACAATTAAATAATTCTTTCACTTAATCTGCATTTATAATGACGTGTAGGTTAGATTTCGGTTACAAAGTTACCTTGAAATTAAATGTACTTATAATTGTTTGCGACATTTTTTAAAATGATAATTTTGCCTTTTAGACAGCCCCTTTCAACATATTAAAGTTTGAAGAAAATCGGAGATACCAACCGAATTGTATACTATTACCCTAAGTGGAAATATTTTTACTTGTTTACTTCAAAACTTATGCGCGACATTCGAATATGTTCCTCAAATAAATTATTAGAAAATAACGAAATTATTGCTTCAACTTAATCCTCATTTCTCGCTCTAACTCCACGTTCAGTTATTACTTATTTGGCGTTTAGTGTATATATATATATATATATATATATAAATCATTATTTATTGGTTCTTTTAAATTATCAATTAACATTTTGATTAGATTTAAATCTAATCCATAATCGAAACCAATTAGTAGATGTGCATCCATAATTTTTTTTATTTCAATATAATATTTTGTAAATAACACTCGGCAGTATCACCATGCTGTTCAGCAGAACAGCAAAACTGATCACCGTTTTGAATTCGCAACGGTGTTGTATCCAGACTGCATAATCCAGTTGTATCAAATTGTATCTTCTGAACTCAGCCATTGTGGTGTTCAATGTAATGCGGGGGACATGTTTTGTGTTGTTTTGTGAAAAAAAACTAATTGAAAATAACATTGTACAAATAAGTTTCTTAGGATTTGAGTTATTATATTTGTAGAATTAATTTTTCCTAACGACGAAAATTCTACTTCTAATTATATTTGAGTAATATTTGAAATTTGCTAACTCTCAAAATAGCTGTTGATTTTTAGACAGTGATGTTTCGATATTAAGTTTCTCGGTTTTTTAACTTAACTGTTTATATCGGACTGTATACAGTGCTTGTTTAATCGTTATAATACACGAAAAGGTAAGAAGTATTAAGTCATATTAGGTTAGTATAATATACACATGTGGAATCATTTCTACATACATGTGTATACAATTTCTCTTATCTGTATAAATTGTTATAAACATTATAGAGTACTCTTGGTCAATGGAGGAAGTTAAAAAAAGATTGGATCTGCTTCATTGCAGTCAATCACAAAATTTATTAAGGGATTTAATGTTCAGAGATTTGGGATTTTGTATGGTACATAAACCTAGTACACAATTAAAATCAGCGGCTGAAACAAATCTTGTGTTGAAAAATTATAAGGAATTGGTAAGTCTTGTGTATTGTTACAAAGCCAAAATCTTCCTTTGTGGAAACAAATTTCTTCTACACTGTAAATGATTTTGTAATTTTTTAACTTTTCCTAGAAATGTAACTTACCTGGAATTCCTAGAACCACATTTTTAATGGTTTTTAGTCCAGATGGGTAAGAAATCTAATAATTTTAGTATATTACAATTTGGAATACAACAAATAATATGTTAAAGCAATGTGGGAAATGTCATTTTAGGACTAAAATGGCATCAACACACGGCGATCACAATGTGTATATTACTGAAATTGCAACTCTTAAAACTGTTCAAACATTATCTGGTCATCCACGTACTCCATGGTCCATTGCATTTTATCCCGCTTCTAGTCACATTTTGGCTTCTGGTTGTTTAGGTGGTCAAGTTCGTGTTTGGGATTTAAACGTTTGTATTCATTATAGCAGAATAATATTTATATACTGCAATTATATTTCGATAATTTGTCTAAGAATGTTTATGACTATATCTTGTCACGCATAAATGGCTTTTTGCAAAGTTCTACAGAATCAAATTGTTTTTGTACAATTGTTAAAGGTAATTCTAATTTCAGAAATAGAAAATTAATAATCACTGTTATTTGATTTTGTGAAATTCATTCGTAGTAAAAGTAAGGCTATATTCATGAGCAGTTTTACAAACATAAAAGCGTAAACACAATATTAGAATAGTTATTATTTGTAATATACTTTATTAAAATAGGGTGGTAGTAAAGTTTGGATTACCAAAAATCAGAAACCTATAGCTTCTCTTGTTTTTCATCCAACTGAAAGGTTACTTGTTATAGCAACATCTAACAAAATATATTTTTGGGATTGGACTGTATCTGAACCTTACGTTGTTGCAATGACCGGAACATATGAAGAGAAAGTAAGGTGAGCTATAATAAATCGAAGTGTATCGGGAACTATGTACTTTGACATTCCCTTCGTCAAGAAAGTCTTAAAATTTACTTAATTTAAAAAAAAAGTCAATAGCGTGCTTCATGTTGTATGTGTATTTCAGATATGTGGCGTTTGACAATTTAGGATGCAAATTGATCACAGGCATTTCAAATATTCCACAAAGGCTAGAAACATTTGAAAGTGGGCAGTATGTATATTACACCTGAATCTAATTTTTTAACTCACTATGTGTTTTGTAATATATGCATATGCCTTACAAAAGTCAATCTGATCAATACCGTTTTCTATAAATTTCTTAATTGTAGTATTTTGAATATAATCCTTATTGTGTATGTTATGCCTGGCAATATTAAGTAGTCTCAAATAATTTACATTCGTACACATGTATCAAGTCGAATTTAAAACACCTATATTTATCATATTAGCAACCTCTTTTAATTTTTATTTTATCGTGTTGATCAGTTTGGCTAGCGTGTAGCTCATAACATTAATAACGAAAATTTAATATTTATATAATGCACGAAATTGGAATTTTGTGTCTAATCCTGTTTATAAGCAAACTTATTGGCTTTAGACGTTTGCTTACAAACGAAACATAATAATAAACATATAGTAACATACTTTTGGAGATGGTGGAGGAAAACGGTACTTCTTTGCACAAACTGCAAATGGATTAAATAACGAGAATACTGAATGTAGAAATCAACCGCTTAATTCAAGTACAGAACGCTTTTCTCCTAATAAGGATAGTTCACAGAGTTCAACGAACATATTAATTTTAACCTATAATTTCTCGCGTAATAGGGTAAGAAATATCGAAGGTAAATATAATAACTGGCTTTCAAACTGTAAATTATCGATATTGGTAATATTAAATAATGAATAATATTTTATATCGCGTACAGGGTGTTCGAAAATGTTCTGTCACGGCCACCACAGCGTTATTCTACACCTCTGGATCGGTGAAGATTTTAAAGAAAATGTATCGTAAAATTCGAGGACATTCGAAATCGACGTATGATTGAGTCCTATCCCCAGCAGACTCACATGCTGGTGTGACGTTAAATGACTCATATGTTGAGTCACCAGTCACAAATGTATAATATCATGTAACTCGTATACAGACTCCTCTTGATTATCGTCCCAAACTTGGGTCCGCGTTGGGACAATCATCGTATAGGGGGAAATGCTTCAGACCCTCGTAAATTCGTTTTTTGCAAAAGAAAACAAAAGCGGAGGGGCAAGAAAGTATGCGCTTGACAGGTTTGACGGCCTTCCCCCTTAGTGATGGGGATAACATCTGGACAATAATCGTGTAGAACAAGCCTGACGATAATCGAGAGTAGTCTGTACGTCGATTTTAAATGTCCCTCGAATTTCGCGGTAATTTCTCGTAACAGATCTCCACCGATCGAGAGATGTAGAATAACGAATGGGGTGGCCGTGACATAACATTTTCAAGCATCCTGTACATCGCTATCCACCAAAAACATGGGATTGCTCGAATTATCTACCTTCATCTTTTCGTTTTCTCGAAATAGTACTTTCAATTGGATGCATGTAACAATTACAACGTCTTAAGTATGATGAAAAATGTATAATTGTTGTTTGATTAAGACCTCATTCCATACGTTTGGTTGCCATTGTATATTTATAAAAATATATCGTTACATTATTGTAAGTTATAGCTCATAAACATTAATAACCCCGATATAATTTATCCGTAATAAATTATATATTTTTTAGATATATTACATGACAATTATGTACCCATAAACAGTCGTCCTTTTTGTAGTTATCGTGTACAAGCATGGGACTTTTCCAACAAGGAAACACCTGACATTACCAATTGTAAATATCTCATTTTATGTAGAATAAGTCATTACTATATGTCTATTAAATAGACGTAATACTTATTCTGTATTTTTAATGTTGCTGTATTTTAGACAACAAAAACATTGTTGTCCGAGAATGCGGAATTTCCCATGATGCTACCATAGAAATTTTTTTGGATGGAAAACTATTAATAGCTGTGCTCCCATTACTTCGATCGCCTGTCCTGGAGACTATTTTAGGTAAGTAATCTATTTACAGTGATACATACGATAAATGTTTTCTTAAACGATGAAAATTCATGCAGAACAGTTCACCTAAGATGTTAACATTTCCATTCTAAGAGAATATCAGAGATGTACTATTAAAATGACTATTTATTCCAGTTTTGATTATAAACAATTTACGCATTTATTTCTTTTAATTATATTTTCTGACAATTTTTCTCACTTTGGATAGATCAACTTCTATGCATGATAATATAGCGTGTCCCTAATATAACATGTTTTTTTTTAGAAGTTTATAGTTTACAATGGGAAACATTAGGCGAAAAAATATATTCAGCGAAAATACCTGAGTACGCCGTTTCTGTTTCAATTTCCCCGACGCAGCAATATCTTTTAGTCGGTCTCACGAGAAATCGCGATTTGAAGAAACATATTCCTATGGCTTTAATTTACCAATTAATAGACAAGGAGAGCCAAAGTGAGGAACAAATGTCCAGTGAAACCGATGCTGAATTTAATTCGCATGAATCAGCGGCGGACGATATGGAAGATAGTTTGAGTATTAAAAATAAAAGAAGGTTTGGATTAGGTATGGTGCTCATTCGAGAGTTACTGCACAACGAGAAAGACATTAAATGCCCGAGTATAAATTGTATTAAATGGATGCCACAGCCTGGACAGGGAATGGTTTATGCTACCAATACTGGAGGATTAAATATTCTTTATTAATTTGTATGTATTATGTGTCTAGTGTGTATTTATAAGAACCATGTATATACTGTCAGGGGCATTGCTATTCATTCGTGATGTAATAGCCACCTTTCCTTTATGCTCGCATCATTCTTCCATTTGGAAACTATACCTTGTTCCTCGAAAGAAGAGACCTAAAGGTGCGCTCGAAGGCAGCGTTGCCAGGGGGATTCCCTATCGTCATAGGGACAAGGAACGTCACATGCAGCTATACAGGGTGTAACAATAATGTTGAAGGACCCGGAAATGGAAGACTCTTAAGGTGATTTGAAATAAGTTTTTCCTTAGCAAAAATGTTATTCGAGGCTTTCTTAACGAGATTCTGAGGAAAAACCCCGACCAATCAGAGCGCGAGTCTGCCGACCGAGTTTCCGCGGTAACAATGACTACCAATCGCAGCGCGTAATCAACGTTACTGCTGGTACTCGACCGCAAAACTCGCGCTCTGATTGGTTGGGGTTTTTCGTTAATATCTCGTTAAGAAAGCCTCGGATAACATTTTTGCTAAGGAAAAACTTGTTTCAAATCACCTTAAAAGTCTTCCATTTCCGGGTCCTCCAACATTTTTGTTACACCCTGTATACACTAAACGACTTATGCAAACCATGCTAATACTAACATAAACAAAAGCGTAATATCGCGTTCCCAACACAAATATACCTCCTTTACTGCTCCTTATTAGGTCGCTCGGTCTTTAGGCGGCCATGTTTTTTCTACTTCTGGCAACGTTGCTCGACACTGTAGCAATCAGCCACTACCTACCGCAGACATCTTATTCCAAAAAACAAAGTATATAGTTTTTCATACATCTGGCTTGATAACACGACTGATACAGCAGTTGCTTCAAGCTTCTGTTCTACTCTATACAGGGTGATTCTCTCGATAAGGACCCCAAAGAGAGTAGCCGCCGGTAGCAGACGTTATAATCTTTCGATCGATCAACTCCGCGACATCAAAGCCCCTGTGTCATCGGCGGCTATTGTCACGGAATCTGTTGTATATTGTGCATATCTCTGAAATAAAAATGATGCGATGGCTACTCATTTTAGGGTCTCTAACGAGAGAATCACCCTGTATAATAATATAGAAAAATAGGTACTGATTACGTTCATGAACTATCATCGTATATTTCAACGCAATGAGATTGTAAACTCTTATGATTTCACGAATATTAACAATTTGAAGGTTATTAAACAAAATGAACATGCATCAAGAATCGTACTATTTGGTACTATTCCTACAGACGAGCTAGGTATAAGAATTATATGGAGTTGTAATAATTATATCTCGTCTGTACTATTATAAACTGTATGGTGCTAGGGTTGAATCGATACCGCCAATGTATCGATACTTTTACTTATTGCTGGTATCCCAGTCAGCTAAACCTGCAAAGCCAAATTTTGTCCAATGCCTGTTGTAAAGTTATGGCTATAAGTTTGATGCAAGATTTGCTATAAACAACTTGCGCGCACATTGGCAGCAAATTGACAGCAACATATGCAGCAAATGGCTTGCGCGAACCTTGTTCCGGTTTTGCTCTCAATTTGACATAGGTCATGTTGCAAGACTTTCTGCCAATTTGCTTAACCATTTTGTTAGCTGAAACTAATGGCTATGGTTTTTTAGACAACTTTTATCACTTATATTGCTGGCAATTTGCTCGAAACTTGTACACAACTGGTTATCAGGGTATTGTATGAAGGTATCAATAGTTACTCGATATCGCAACAAAAGTATCGAATTATATTTTTCTAATCTTGTTAGCAAACACTAAAATTGAAAGAAAATAAACCACAGGAGTATACTTTATGTATTTATTAAAATATTTAATATAAAATATAGAACATATACACAAACATATGTATAAACTATATAATATTGGGAAGCCCCTTATTTTTATGAAAACAAAGGAATAAATAAAGATTCATCAGTAACATAAACAATTCCTTTATTAATGATAAAAGTAAATGTCAGTCTTTAACTTTGCAAGTAAATTAAATTTGTTAATTTAAGTATGTAGTAAAATATTTAATTGCGGAGGTAGCATGCATATTGGAGGAGATTATGTCAAACATAACATAAATAGATGGTAGATGGAGATGCTGCAATAAACAATACAGGAAATCTTGTTCTACTATATTTGAAAATACCATTATTGAATTATATGACATTCTTAAATGCAACATTAGTGTGTGATAATGGAAAATGATACCCACAAGTACATACTATTTACTATGATGAGTGATGAAGACTGATAAAAAAAATGATGATTTTTGCATAATTTTATTAATATCGAATAAAATGATGCACGTAAAGCTGTACATTAATACTTTTCTAAATATTAATATGTTATTACTCACTAATGAGTTTTGAGTAAATGACATAGATATTATTGGAAACAATGACATTTACATAACTAAAACTATCCATCATCATACAGTAAGCTATGTAGTAATTCTGGTGTCTCCGGTTGTTTCAAGCAAAGAGACACTTTTTCCTGCAAGTTTGTAGAGTATTTGCTTTGTCCCAGTTGGTCGAGATCGCGATCTAGAATTGTTTCAATTTCATCGTCAATGTACAAAGGATTCTCATAAATTTTTGACACATATGAACTGCTCTGCTGTGTGGAATTTATGGTTTCATTTATTGTATTTTGTAACTCAGTCTCTGACATGTTAACTGTATTGTAATTATTTAATGTTGCCGGTACATCACAGTTAACTAACTGATCGCTATATTGAATTTGTCCTCTTAGTTCAGTTAAAGAACCAGGCAGTTGGTGGTACTTCATCTGGTGCACTTTTAGATTACTGGTTTGCGAGAACGTTTTCATGCAAAAATTACAATGATAAGGTCTCTCTCCAGTATGGCACCTCGAATGCCTTTGTAATTTGTATTTTGTTACAAATTGTTTACCACAATCTGTACAAGTAAAGGAGTTTGCTTCTATTTGTAAATTGTGATTGTTTGTAGATTTCTCCGCATCCATGTGAAAGTTTATCATATGAGATTTTAACGATACTTTATATCGAAACGATTGATGACAATTCGCGCATTGAAATTGTTTTTTTCCTTCGTGCCTTTCTAAGTGTTTCATTAATATTTCTTGTTGATTAAACGACATTCTACAGATCTATAAATAGTTATTGTAATATTAATAGAAGAAATGATATTTTTCATGTTTTTTAAAATACACAATAAGATTATTTGAATTTAATCGAAATATGTAAAATCGTTCAATTATATTACGAACATTACAAACAAATGGTCGTTGTCCAGTGTGAATTCGTTTATGTCTGTTTAAATGTGCCTGACACCTAAAGCTTTTGGCACATATTGGACACATACTCTTCCCTGTACCTTGTCTGCCTAAGGTAGATTTTGGTACTGTATCATTTTCTTTCAACTGACATAACATACTCTGAAAGTGAAATATTTCCTATGTTTAACTAATATATCAAATAACAGCTATAACTCGAAGAACAGACATATTGGGTTAGTAAAAAAGTAATTTTATTCTGTCATTTGAAAGCAACCAGTCGAAGGAAATCAGGTATCAAACATCACAGAACTCAGTGGAAAGATTAAATATTGATCATACCACACAGGTTTGGTATATTAGCACTTACTAGTTTCTAAACTCAATGTCTATGTGCCTCATTAAATGAAAAAAGAATTTAATCAAACAAGTTAATATTTTTATATTATTTTGTAACAAAGGATAAAAAATGGGTTACATATATAGCGATGTAATGAAAAAATAATTTTCTACTTATTTTCCATATTTCCCTAATATAGCTCTTTCCAACTATCATCTCTTTCAATCTTTATACAATCATTTAAAAGAAAAACGCATTAAACAATTTATAGGAAGCGAATATATGCATTAAAAAGTTGACTGAAAGATGACAGATCGTCACAAACAATCAAGGAAATTATATAGTCGATTTAACGAATTAATAGTACATGAAATTTTTATGTTTTATATTACTTTGTTGAAAAGAAAAAACTTTTCCACCAACCCAATAAGTAGCAATCATTAAATACCTCTGCAAAATCAATTTCCAAAGTTGGGGCAGTAAGTTGTTTTTGTACATTTGCTACCATTATATAAAACTCATCGAATGTGCAAAGCTTTTGTTCACAATCAATACAAACGTATTTCGAAAATGTATCGGAATTTGAAATATTTATCACCTATACAAAGAAATACGTTAACATTGTTCAATCGTTGATTTCATCATTGAGAAAGCATAATTTTATAAAGTACCTCTTTAGAGAAATATTTGTTTATAATAGACGTCAATACGGTTCCTTTAATTTTATCTGCCAATAGATCTGTACCCTGCTGCTTTCCTTTCCCACAAAGACGGCACAACTTTAAACTTGTTTTATGCAGCATCATTGTTTAAAATCGTTTTTGGTTTGTGTCACAGTTTTAATTAAATCAGTGGAACAGATTTTGTGGCCGCGATACGCGCTTTCGATCAAAGAACGTTATATATTTAATTGTTCATATATAACAGCAGTGAAAATCATGTTCGTCCATAATAAAAATTTTTACATTACATTCCTCTGCTACCTGCTGTATTAATTCAATCTAAATAGTGTATTTTTCAAACGAGTTCATACATACTAGTTTCATAAAAAACCTATCTAAATACAACGAGTAAACCTTTTCACAACTTGACGTACCGTATTCATGGTAACACTTGCTATGTGGTTCTCAATTGGATCGGTATCACATCGTTAGGGTTTACTAACCAATTATAAGTTAAAAATAAAATTTTTTTTTCACTTATCCTTTCGACTACATCTATTGTAATGTATAAAGAAATTTAAATGTTAATTAAGAACACCACTATGGCCACTCATGCTATTGTGACTGCATAATAAAACTCAATATAAAAAAATATCACTGATTACACTCTTTGAAAGGATATTTATTTTTTCCATTGAATACCACGCATAAGTGAGAGAACTCTCATTTCGACTAAATATTGTCAGGATTGTCACCTCACGAGCAAACTTGGCTTCCGCTAGGGGAAAAAGCACTGCAGGAGAAGGGCCTTCTATTACTTGGCCTTGGGAATTATTTAAATTTATGTCAAATTAACATTCAATTTAACATGATTTAACATTTATTTAGGTACTTGAAATAAACTTACTAAGTAGTGTGAGGCCCTTCCGCTACGTCACTTTTTCTCCTAGCAGAAGCCGGTTGCTCATGAGGGTAGCCAACATTACTGCAGGAGCTCAGCCGGCAGATTTGCGCTCTCATTGGTCGCGACTTTTCATTAATATCTCGTTAACGAAGTCTCGGAGAAGTTTTTCGTTAAGGAAAAAGTTGTTTCAAATCACCCCAGGAATCACTTCTTTCAAGGACTTTAACCTATTTTGGGACACCCTATATATGTCTATGCATGCGATAGCCACGTAGCAATAGAGAGTAAAGATTCTAACGTTAAATGACGTAACACAACCCTACATGCCATGAGCTCGCTTCAGTTGTGCAAAACGAACTAGTAGCGTGAAGGTGCAGCATTCATAATCGGCATATAAAAATTCTTAAAGTTCCTAGTTTTAGACCAATAGTAAAAAAATTTCGGCGTTCGTAGAGAACGAAAATTGATTTTCATTAAAAAACTAATGGGAATAGCATGCAGTTGCACGGAAGGTAGAACTCGAAGACGTCTCTCTGCTGTAGATACACGTTGTTGTAGTTTATGCATGAATATGCAATATCAAAACAGAACCGTAAGGGTGGCGTTCGATGAAACATACAAGAATATCAAAATAATCGCTTTAAATGTGGAGTAATAATGAGAATGGCGCACAACGAAGAGAATGTATCAAGGCTCGTGCCTACGAGCAGAAATAAAATTTGACTGACTAGTAATTTAGAGAACAACCAACCGGCACAGACAGTGCCTCGAAGACGTCAATACAGTAGACATTTATTATATTATTACTTATAATACACTTGGAAATTAGTTCTTCGAATTGTTATCTAGGATTCCTATGTTCAAATCTTATATATATACATATATATATATACACACACATTGGCTATCTGAGCATCAATGTGGATGAAATTAAAAAAGGAATGCAGATTAATATCATTGATAAGTCTATCAGCTGATTGTCATCTATCAGGAACATGTGAAGGATGTGCAGTAATGAGCTCTAAATTGAATCATTTATACAATTATCTCAATATTGAGTATTATAGCACAATTGATATTTCATGAATTTTCCTTGGTGGCAAGAATAGAGCAGAGATATTGGCAAGTCTCATGAAAGGATGGGAAATAAAAGTAGTTGCTGTGTTTATTCTAGTCCCCAAGTTGGACGCAAGGAACTAGGATCTGAAGATGTTACTCGAGGTCTCGAGGAACATTTACCCGAGGGTGGAATTAGCATTAATAATTTACAACACATTAGTGAACGTGAACCAGAAGATTGGGATTCAGATCCTTCGTTGCATCCATGTGCTGGTACTATTTTTATGGAAAGATCCAAGCAAGCAATCGAAAGTATGTATTCTTTGCGTTTAAATGTTTTAATCTGTAGATGCAGGATTACATTTAAAATGTATCGTATTATAAGAATGAATTTCTTAAAGCTTGAACTAGTGTAACAGTGGTAATTATTAATAGCAAGTATGTTTTAGTGTCGGAATAAATCTCGAGAATTTTCTAATGTATATTTCCATTTCAGGTGGCATGGTAAGGAAAAAAAGTCAGCATCAAATTGCAGACACAAGGCCTTTAAAAAAGAGTAGCAGTTGCAGTACAATATATTTAGATGACAGTACTGTCTCTCAACCTAATCTTAAAAATACTGTGAAATGTGTTGCCTTAGCCGTTTACTATCACATTAAAAACAGAACCTCACAACGACAAATCGATATATTTGATGAGAAGCTACATCCATTAACAGTAATTTAAATATATATTTTTTCTTTTATATATGTATTTTCATGTACTGGGTGTCCCATGCAAGTGTTGCCACGAAATTGCAGAACGTTCTTTGAACTTTACAAAAGAATTATGTTTAACAAAAGTTGAACTATATTTTAGTGGGTGTGACTTTTGTTAATCAGAGTCTCCTTATCTGCATTTCTTTCTAAGATATGGATGTTATCTTTTGTTTTATAAATGAAACTATAGTATTTTTTTAATATTTTTTATTAGAATGAATTATAATGTATTTGAATTAATCATAATTTCATTTAAAAAAGAAAAAATAATATCTGTATCTCCGAAAAAATACAGATAAAAAAAATTCTAATTTACGAAAGTTGTGCACACGTAAGTATAGTTCAAATTTTATCTAACATAGTTTTTTTGTGAGTTTAAGGAATATCCTGAAATTTCATAGCGACACTTATGTGAAACAGCCTGTATATAACGTGCAGTTGATTATGAAACTAGTTGAAGTTGTACACTGTTCATAATGTAGGATCAAGATAACACAAAATAGGTGGAAAATTACATTTTTACAGATTATTGACTTCGGTAATTTTCAAAATCATCGACGTATATGTATATGTCCATAATTTAAAACTATTAAACTAATATATCCAGTGTATATAAGGTGAATCATCTGAAATTAGCATCTAGAATATTTGTGTTTCTTCTAATAATCTGTAAATATAGAGAAAACTTACTGTCTCTAATAGTTTTGAAAACAAAATGACTTTTATTATAATATGTGATTCCCCTTATTATTGTAAGAATTGATTTAAACGTAAATTAAATATAGATTAGTGTAAGTGTAAAACTACGAATATGATTTCACTTTTGCTTGTAGAGGGAAGGCGTTACAGATGATTATGATAAATATAACCCAGAACACAAACAAATATACAAATTTGTGAGGACATTGTTTAACGCTGCTCAACTGACTGCTGAATGTGCCATTATAACGTTAGTTTATCTGGAACGTCTACTTACGTATGCAGAAATAGATATAACGCCAGCTAATTGGAAGCGAATAGTACTTGGAGCTGTATTATTAGCGTCGAAAGTTTGGGACGATCAGGCAGTATGGAATATAGATTATTGTCAAATTCTCAAAGATATTACAGTAGAAGATATGTGAGTTGATATTTGAATTGTAGTAATAATAAATGTATATAAAAGTACTTTTAATTATCAACATGTATATCTATTTAGGAATGAATTAGAAAGACAATTTTTGGAGATGCTACAATTCAATATAAATGTTCCTTCAAGCGTGTACGCTAAATATTATTTTGACCTCCGTACACTCGCAGAAGCAAACGAGTTAACATTCCCTAGCGAACCGCTCAGCAAAGAAAAAGCTCAGAAATTGGAAGCGATGTCCAGAGTTTACGAAGACAGAGTCACTGCTGAAGCTTTACGTACTGGTAATAAGAAATGGTCAAGTTTAGATAATATATGCATAGGTGGACCTAGACGTAGTATTGCTATTTTATCCTAAACTCTGGATATAAGTGAGTACATTACTTATGTCTGTACCTTCTGAATTAAGGTATGTGAGTGAAAAAGATTTTGCAAACCTACTATAGCATAGTATCAATCAATTTCGAAAGTTTCGCAGGCATATGATTTATATTCAATTATTTGTATATTCTACTTAAATGTTTTATTGTAACATATGTTTTATTAACTAATTCCGGATCATTGGTTCACTTAATTTTTCTTACGTTTATGGTTCCATTTTATGTAACAATGCAATACTGTAACATGCTAATTGTTAATATTTCTTTAAGAAAGGAAATATGATCGCATAATCTTTTGTTTCCTTTAGTTTCATTCATTAAAGAATGATCTATAATTTTTTAGATGAATTTTTCAACTGTAGACCCTTTAATATGTTCAAGTAAAATGAACAAGTAATACAAAATGTTTACTTGTTGTTAGTGCTTCTTTCATTAAACTTGTGATACCTGTCGGTTGTCTTCTCTTTAAAATAGTTTGTATTAATTGGATTTTCGGATGGTTAAACTTGCAGCAAATTTATTAATAACGACACGTAAAACATAGAAATATGTTATATTGTAAAGTTTACTTTGAATCAAAGATTCTTGAAATTTTGCGCATTTTCACAAAATTTATTATAAACAATTTCAATAATAAATCCATCTAAAAGAATTTCTAAGTCAGAGTCTTGTTAATTGAGATATTATACATTTGACATACCTTTTTGTATTTGAATATTTTTTTGAAAATTGTGTTCACGTTCCATTTAAATTAAGCATAACAAATATACAATAATAATAGTGTATTCGTTATAAATTCGTTATAAAGGCATTGTACATCTTTTAAATTCTTTAAGAAGAAATTACAATTACAGATTTTTTTTTACATTTTATCAACATGGTTTCCTTTATCATTTTACCAACATGGTTTCCTTCATCATTTATCCAGTTATCAATTATACGTATACGTATGTAAGATAGCTTACGAAATTTTTTTTTGTAAGTACAATTACTCTGTATGATCAAAGTCTTTGATACTTTCAAAACAATTGTGAATACTTTGTTCAAACTATGATTCATTTGAACTGTAACAAGGTTACATCGCTATTACATTAGATTCTTGACAATTTATAACAATAGTTCGTTCATTGTGTTTTATGTATTTAATGTACCGTATTTAAATGTAATGATAACATTGTAGTTTTTTTTCTAGCTGAATACAAAGAAAACCCATCCATGAACCTCTGTCTGCCTCGTAAAGTGCTAAACTTTTCTTCCATTAATTTAATCTCTCGCATTATTTTAATAATTTACTTGAAAATGTATGAAGTTTACAACATTAATTCCTCTTTAATGTTTTATAATAATGAACAAGCATAATATCGAAGAATAAAATTAATTTTTAAAATACATTAAAACACATCGTATGCTTAAGTAGAAAGAAATACTACAAGATATAAATTTATTTTCACTATTTTTCGGTTTTTTAATTCGTATCTTTACATCGTTCTTAGAAATTATATTTATATGTATGTAGGATTTTGATCATTCAGCATGTAAACATTGGCAACTATTGAAACATAGTGACATTCTTATATTAATTCGTGAATAATAAAGGAAAAGGTCAATTTATAGCATATATTATATTTAAATAAAATGTTATTTGTATTTTAGTGCAATTTAACGCAGAAATGTTGTTTCGCATTTTTAATAAGCTTGAATTATTCCATACAGCAACTTCTAACTTTCTTTGACCGTTTGAAGTGTTAAGTTCTTTAATTATACATTGTTTTAAATGAATGAAAGTGGTATTTTAATAGCAATTAACACATTGTACAAAAGAGTATAAATTTTAATAAACGATGCTTGAATTAGTTACTTTAAAAAATTCATACGCAGTTACCCAAGATACGAAAAAAATATAACTTATTCTATCATTAATATTGCAATAAGATTGATGAAATCGGAACAAAGTTTTTACTATTTATTGCAAAGAAATTCCAATTTCCACGAGGACTATAGTGCTTACTGTTGCGTAATCTGCTTACATTAAGGAGATTTATAAAACTACCTATTTTGCATACATGATTATACATGAGATTCAGATGTATTATATGGAACAATGAACTTATTTATGATAGTTCTTTAACATTTTATACTTCCGAATAAGGATCAAGCATATAAGTGTCGAAATATAGGGATAAGAGACCATTTACATTATAACTTATTATTTTCTGAAAAGTTATAGTGATCCAAATTTCTATTGGACCCATTTAATACTGTTACAGAGTAATGGCAATTCATCTTATTTTTATACTTTACTACAGGAAATTGCGTGTACTGTAAAGAGGGAACTTTAACTGTAATAATTAGCCTCTAATGTAAAACTACGTAATATCAGACTGTAATACGATTTCCAAACGTGTATAATATAACCATATATAACATTAAAATAATATGCATAGGATATTAAAATATAGACGTAACATTGACATATCTATATACGACTTTTGACCGAATAAGACTTTTTAGTTCCTTGATCGAAATGAGGAAGATACATTTTATACTATATGAAACAGAAAATCGGTTTAACGTATCGCAAAGCAATCATGTAAGATAACGTAAAAGGAGACGAAGAAAAACGAAATGTAAATAATTAAAGATTGTACCAAGAAAAGCCAAAAAAACTATTGAAAGTAATCAAATCGCTAAGCAAAATAGGTTCTTCTCATTTTAAGATTCTGATTTCTTAATGAATTAAGATTGTTTAAAAATAGAATTGCATCGTAAAGACAATCTTGAAGTTTGATTGCATCCTATAAATAAAGTACAGTGCTCTGTCTATATGTGTCGTGTAAGGTTGTATTATAAATAACATCGTTTTATTAATGCTATGTCGAATACAGCTTCAGATAAGTTTGTCATGATATTTTGAATAACTTAGATCTTGTCGGAATTAATATTTTTTTATTGATCTATCGTTTACTTATTTTGTAATGCGCAGCTTTTTTTGCTGGTATATCATACAATGGTCAATTGGATATTAGTAGTGCACATTGTATTGATAATACAATGTGCACTACTTTAAAGAAAGTGATGTGACAGTGTCAACTTTTAAGTCTTCTACTCTGGATAAATTAAAAAAAAATTATAAGCAGCATTAAGGTTTATTTATTAAGGACTAAGGTCTTTTACTACTTTTATGCAACAAAACTTCTGCTATGCTGTTATACAGAATTTCTACTGATACACACAGATGCTTTAAAAGATTTCTATTAAAAGCTATTGTAATACATAGTTTTTTATCATATATTATAATTATTTTTTAGTTTAGTTCACATTCAATAGGTCTTAAGATATCTATACTTGAGATGTACATTTATGGAATTTAAAATGTATTATGGAATTGTAAAATACATTTATTATACATCTTCTTTTTTTATAGTCATAATAAAATGATTATTATTTATGCTTAAAAAGGAGGTAATAGATGCATTTATTTTGTTTTCTTCGAAATAAAATCTTAACTATGATATAAGAGAAAAATATTTATAATCAATATAATACGAATCTTAGATGTTCATTTATATTTAGTGAAATATTAAATTTTGTGTATTTACTTTCAACATAAATTCAGACTGTCTATAATGTATATAATAATGTATGTACTAATGTTTTTATTCAGAAATTTTTATATAGTATTATCGTAATCACATTGTTAATAACAGAGAGCTGTTAATAATTAATAAAAAGTTACTTACTAACCAAAAGGGAAACTATACAATAGCACTTAAATACGTATTTGAAAAGTGTTCTCTTATTGGTCTCTTAAATATGTCTTCTCATTGGCTGTTTTACGTATATTCGATACTTAACAAGTATAATGTAGTACCTACCCTCACGAGCAAACCGGCTTCCGATAGGATAAAAAGTGGCGTAAGAGAAAGGCCTCCTACCACTTAGTAAATTTATTTCAAGTACTGAAATAAATGTTAAATCAAATGTTAATTTGACATACATTTCAATTATTCCCGAAACCAAATAGCAGGAGGTCCTTCCCCTACGTCACTTTTTCCTCTAGTGGAAGCCGCGTTTGCTCGTCGGTGTCCATTTAACATTTTACCCAATAACATTTCTGATACGTGACCGTGTCGAGCAAACTCGGCTTCCACTAGGAGAAAAAACGGCGTAGAAGAAAAATCTTCTACCACTTGGTAAATTTATTGCAAGTAGTGAAATAAATGTTAAATCGAATGTTAATTTGGCATACATTTCAGTAATTCCAAATACCAAATGGTAGGAGGCCCTTTCCCTTCGTTACTTTTTAACTCGTGGGTGGTGAGTGCGCGTCTAGTGGAAAAAATGTCTAGTGTCATTATTAAAGAGTCAGCCTTGCGTCGCGTAATAGCCGCTACTCGGACAACAAGCAATGTTCAGGGGTAACTACTTACGCGGTTGAGATACACACTTTATCATTCGAGTAATATAACGCATCCTTTACACTTCTTCATGATGCGTTCATTCAGGTGATTAATGTTTGTCTAAACAAATCTATAAGTTGACTTCAGAAGCATTAATTGCAATCGAAATCTCGTCCCGTTTATGTTGAGAGTGATGAGCGGAAAGTGAAACACAGTCGAGACTGGAAGAGGTATCTACGTTGACGAAAAACTTCTATCAATGTGTAATGTATAATTCTACACTATTGAAGCGCGAAAACTTTGTAATAACGCTAGAAGTCGACTGCTTTTGATCGACTTAATCGTCGTTGCGATGGTTCATAACGAGTCGATTGTATTTATGCTTCTTCAGGAAGGCTGAAAAATAGAAAAAAAAGTGTTCACTAGGAAATATACATGAAATATCTCAAACAATGATCTTTACTAACTTAGAAGACATCGACCTAGAGGCATATGGTAAGTATTTGCTAATTTTATCTTTTACAACGTGTAATTTGATTCGAATGTATTATAGATCCTAGTTTCAATAAAGAATATTATCCTTTTATTAGGTTGGTGTATAAAAAGTATTGGTTATGTATCATTGTCTCCAAATTTAATGAAAGAAGAATCTTTCTGACATTATACTATACTCTGTCAATAATATTCATCAACTGTTGATAAGAATGATATAAAACAAGCGAATCTGACTTCTCCTTGCATGGAGAAGTAGATATTCACTTTCACTAAGAATGGTGTTCGAAAAGTATATAGGCGTACAGCAGTGCATTAATTTTTTATTCCAGCAAGAAAGAATCAGCTGCAGAAATGATCAGAATTATTTGTAAGATCTATAATGAAGATATTTCATTTGAAACAGTATGTGACAATTGATTTAAAAGATCCAGGAGCAATAATTTTGATGTTAATGACGAAGAATATTTTGGCTAGACTTAGTACAATTTGTGCATTATCGTATTATAAGCTTGAAAGGCAGTTGAAGGTTGAGTAATAGGCAGTAAATCAGAGTTTACAACCATTGATGAACAGTATTAATGATGGAAAATGAAATTACTTCTGCACCAACCTAGTATCACTAATACAATATTGCTACATTAACTGCAAAGATATTGTATTTTAGAAATTGTAGATTTATGAAAAGTTAATCGTTATATTTTCCTGTTTATTGAAACATTATAAAGTGGTTTTGGTATTGGAACTGCTCTAAGTCTTCCTAAAGGCAATAAATTTAAAAGTACGACACATATAGAAATTAAACTTTCTAGTTACACGAATGAAATCATATTAAATATAATAAACATGATTTTAACACTTATTTGATTCAATTTTTATTAAAATTATTGTTAATTACCATTAATCGTTGAAGTTACAGACAGAAATTCTTATTGCTTTTTCTTTGTCGAATCAAATATTGTGAAGAAACAAATGATTACACTTTTTCTATTTGTACATGTTTATTTTTTATTTTCATTTCTTCATATCACATGCATTATGCATACTTGTAATGCTAATCAATGAATCCTATTGGTTGTAAGGCTCATGAACACGTGAAAATTCATTTAACACATTGTAGCAGTATTTTAATATACTTTGTTTCTATACATTTATTTCTTACAAAATCTACGTTATTGCTGTTATAAATTACTTCAAATTCAGGCAACTTATAGCATAATTCTCACCAATATCCAATAATAATATAATTCTTAGCTTTATAGCATACTGTAACACTAGTGACAATGTCATTTGTCCGCAGATAATTGTACTTACAATTGTTCAATCTGAGAAGGTGTTGTTCTTCTTAAATATTACAGATTAGAAACATATTTATGGAATGAAAATGGCACGCAGACGCAAAACGGAAATGAAAGCATCTGTGAAGTCGACAGTGAAATATGTACCTGTTCGAAAGTCTAGTAGGCAAATAGCTAAGAAACAACTAGAAGAAAAGAAGGTCAATGGGGACGTTCTACAAATATCTTATTCGAATGACGCAGAAGACAGTAAAACTACTGGAGATGATCAGAATCAGCTGCTTCCTAAAAAGAATCAAAACTCTTTAAGGAAATACAACAAGCATAAGAGCGTCTCCAATAGTGATTTACTTGTAATCAACGAAGAATGTGAATACTCGACATCGCAATATAAAAAGGATGCTAGCGATAGTGATAGTCAAGATGGAATAATAGATGCTATAATTGATCGCTCTGCAAAACTTAGTCCTGAGGACGTCCAACAGGTAGTTGTCGGTAATCCGACCAAAGAGGCCGTAATGGAGGCCGAGTCTACGGAAATCGAAATATGGTCGGAAGATATGATAGAAGAAACTATAATTTGCGAAGAGATGGAAGTTAAAGAGGATGTTAAAGATGATAATTATAGTTTGGGAAACGAGGACGATATGATAGTGAAAGAAGTATTATTAGTAAGCAACTCTTCATTGAAGAGGAAAGATTTTGTTGAATATACTGTGATACAGAACGAGGACGGTATAGAGTCCATGGTAGTAGAGACATCTAATTCGAAAGGCACGTCCGGCGTTGGATATTGCACCGAGGAGAAGAATGTATGCGACTTAGAGAAAACTGAAAGCGAAAATTCCATATCAGCCTTCTGTATAGATGTGCCAATGACTTCTAGCGATGCAAATGATAAGTCATCTTATAATTTAGAAAAATTTTATGCTCACGATAAGGAGGCATCTAGCGATCGAAAAGACTTGCACGGGAATAGAAATGTGTGCGGGATGGAGCCAGAAGATATTCTGTCTAAAGACGATGCATTTTGCAGAATAGACAACAAGCTAGCGGATATGCAAATTAGCGAAACTTCGAAAGAAATACAAAAGTTAGTTAACGATTTATCGAACACAGAGAGCATAACCTCTCCGTTACATATTGCTAGTAGCACGGAAAAAGAAATTCCCATGACTATCGACGACGAGAGCAGTTCCTCGATATTAGAAAAAATAGAGCAGTTACATCATCCGAATAATTTCACGTCTTTGCCCGATCGTATGAATGAAACTATAATAGAGCATAACAAATCCACTGCCCCGAATGACAAAACAGAATGCTCCAATCAATCGTCGTTGAAATCAAAAGTTGTACAAGATAAGAAAACGGGAAATCAACGGAAAACTACACAGTCCCAACAAGCCAGTGAATTATTGTACGGTGATCTTGAGACAGATAATAAAATGTACGGGGAGGACACAAAATTATCTAGCAGCAGTGATAACAGTAATGACACATTGTTATCGCTGAGTAATTGTAAATTAACAGAATTTGAAACAAAATGTAACAGTAATTCTAATGACACTGATAAAAAAGTTGAGTTCAGGAGTCGAAGTGGTAGTACCGATACAACAGGTTCAGAAAGTGGATCGAACAGTTCTGCTGTGCGGAGAAGCAGCAGAATTAGATCGATTGGTTTAATGAAACAGAGGTATGTATTACGATTAGACTGCAGATTTTATGTATTTGATCGCAGTCTCTGCAAACTGATCCACAAAAATTTGCATAAAAATTCACATGATAGTGCGCACACGCGTATACAGTGGACTCGCAAAACTATATTGCCAGTAAACATATTGCCAAGACACTTCCCCTTCACACGTGCTTTCGAGCACGCAAATTCGCGCTAATCATTGCCATTTTACTCCGCTAGAGCCTCGACCATGGCAATATAAACAGTCCACTGTACTTGCATTTACTTTGATTTGCTCCCAGGTGAACGGAATTATCATGAACGATTTCAATATTACTTTCCAGATCTCGTGGGCGTGGTTTAGTTACAAAACCAAATATAGATGTATCGAAATCAAGTAGCCAGCAGGAACGCGAAAAAGTGGCTAATAACATTGCATCGACTGCTCAAGAAGTAAAAGTAGATAATCCCCCAGAACTACAATTGGATAAAGAAAATAACATCAATAAATCTTCGAGTACAACGTTCGATTCGTTGACACCACTAGCAACCTCTTGCAATACTACTGGCTACGATTCAGACTCCTGCAAGCCTGTCAAAGTGAAATCTCGTTGGCGAAGGTCTAGCGAACTTGAAATGGGTGGATCGAGTACCGGATTCGGCTCCACGTCCGTAATTGGGCCTGCATTTGGCGCCTTACCTTTAAACGCCCCTGAATTAGGATCGTTAACGTTTAAATCTGTGCCTGGAACTGCGATCGACGTTGGTTCTTCGGATTCAGGATCTGGATCGACGTTAATTACAACAATTACTCAGTCTAACGTGGACGCAGAACAGGCAAAGGAATCGGTGGTAGTAGCTAACAGTGTCACGGGTGTGCAGATCCCAAAAGCTGTAGGCTCAAAGATTCCGTTGCCCATGGTTCCAGAAACAGAGGATAGAGAAATGGAGGAGAGGCTCAGCCAGTTTGAATACTTGCACGAAAATTTATATCTAACAGAAAGGTAAATGATAAGAACGGCACTCTAAATAAGGATGAAATTTTGCATAATTTATTTCTGCTTGAGTTATATCTAATTAATTAATGATTGTTTTATGATAGCGGCATATTATTGTATAAAGTAGATTGTTTATGTATATCTGTGTGGTTAAAAATATCTCCATAATGACTCGATTAACAGTTCAGTTTGTTGGTTTAAGAATTCAAAGGAGTGTGACTATGTTTAAATGGACACCCACGAGCAAACTCAGCTTCCGTTAGGGGAAAAAGTGGCGTGAGAAAAGAGCTTCCTACCGTTTAGCAAAATTAATTTCAGGTACTGAAATAAATGTTAAACCGAATTTGGCATAAATTTCAGTAATTGCCAAAACTAAATGGTAGGAGGCCCTTCGGCTACCTCACTTTTTCCCCTAGTGGAAGCCGAGTTTGCTCCTAAATATACCTATATAAAATATGTTGAAAATTAGCACAGAAAAAGCCTGACATGCGAAATCACTTCATATTTTGTTAACCACCAGACTAGACTTGCACAAAGATTTTTATGAAAGTATATTAGTAATTATATAGTAAGTTACTTTTATTTGCCTTTATAAATTAGTAGAAAATTATGCGTTTCTTCGATTTATTGAGTGTAAGTGTTAATCCCTTTACTTTGGATCGATTCGACGTCTGTGTAATGTGCCCAATAATAATTTTCTTTTAGGTATACAAATAAGGAAACAAAACGAATGGTGTGCGACTGTTTCTTAACGGAGGAAGAAATCGACAGAGGAGAATTAGGTTGCGGTGAAGATTGTCTTAATAGACTTCTTATGATAGAATGGTATATTTGAAATGAAAACATTTAGATAAGCCATAAGGCAGTTAAAATACAAAACATGTCTTAATTCTAGTGGATCCAGATGCGTAGTCGGCGACCGTTGCACGAACAAAAGATTTCAAAATTGCGAGTACGCTAAGTGTGAAGTATTTAGAACAGAGAAGAAAGGTTTCGGCTTACGCGCCATAGTCGATCTGTTGGCGTAAGTTCTCTTGGCACTACATATACAATGAAAACCACTAATAATTTATTTTGTTGATAAATTTAATTTCTAATTACCAGGGGGGAATTTATAATGGAATATGTAGGTGAAGTAGTCGATCCAAAAGATTTTCGACGTAGAGCAAAAGAGTATTCGAAGGATAAGAATAAACATTATTATTTCATGGCGTTGAAGTCTGATCAAATAATCGACGCCACCATGAAAGGAAATGTTTCACGATTTATAAATCACAGCTGCGATCCGAATTCTGAAACGCAAAAAGTAAGTACAACTAATCACGAATTTAAATCTACGGAATCCGATATTTTCACATGTGTGAACGTATGATATTTGTGTAGTGGACGGTGAATGGTGAATTGAGAATAGGATTTTTTAATAAAAAATTTATAGCTGCCGGTGAAGAGATTACGTTCGATTATCACTTTCAACGTTATGGGTATGTATAGCGTAGATTTAAAGTAACACCCTAACGCGTTTTTAAGAATGAAAACCATCGACGTTGTACATTTTCATTGTTAAATTAGGAAGGAGGCACAGAAATGTTACTGTGAAGCTCTTAATTGCCGTGGTTGGATCGGCGACACGCCCGAGGAAGAGAAAGAAAAAACTGAGAAGAAAGAGAAACGTGAGAAGGATATGAGAAAGAAGAAAGGAGAAAAAAAACAAACTGATTATATGGAGGATGAGGATGTAAGCTTCATGTCGATTGATAAATTTCAAATAAAATTTCACTCTGTCCCTAATTCTGTGTGTATCGTTTCAGTTGGAGGAAGAAATCGATAAATTGTGTTCAGGTGGTTTGAAGAACAGAGCCCACACGTTGACATTAAGTAGACTTATGGTACGTAGCAGGGAACTGGAGCACAGAACTCGCCTTCTGCGTCTCATACAAAGTGGAGAACAGCCATGCAGAAGATTGTTCCTGGACTATCATGGTTTACGTTTGATTTGGAGTTACGTGATGGACATATCGACTAATGATTCCGAAGAAGCGCAACAGTTTCGACTGGAAGTGTTAAAGACTCTGAACACACTTCCGATTCCGAATAAGACAATGCTAATGGACAGTAAGATTTATAACGTGGTAGAGAAATGGTCGAAACGATTGTATTTTTCACCAAATAGAGATTCTCCGGAGGACGATCAGGGAAAATTGAAATCAGGCTCCGAGGAATTACAGATTAATTACGATGCCAACGAAAAGAAAATCTATCAGCTGAACGATACCGAGAAAAATGACAGTAATATGGAAAACTGTGTGGCAGTCGGTGAAGTGAAATCAGACAATGGAGATCAAAATCTTATACCCGACCTAGCTTTGAGTCTTCTAGCTGAGTGGTCGAATTTAAAAGAAGTTTTCCGAATACCAAAAAAGGAAAGAATTGAACAAATGAAAGAGCATGAAAGGGAAGCAGGTAATGGGGCGTTTAATCGTTTTCTAGTTTGAAATATACAGCATGCGTCGTTGTTGGAGGCATAATCGAAAAAGAAGTGATTTGACATGCAAAAATAAAACAAAAGCATAGAATACAATTTTTTCCGATGACGCTTTGTTTAAGAAAAGAACTGAATTTGGGAATTCGTTGAGTGGATCACTACTTCTACTTTCAATATGCATATACAGAATCCGCTTGATTATTGTCTGGCCTGTTCTACACGATTATTGTCCAGGCGTTATCCTCACCACTGGAGGAGGGGCTGTGGAACCCGTCAAGTGCATACTTTGTTGCCAAGGTTCAGGCAAAAAAACTAATTTACGAGGATCTGAAGCATTTCTCCCTACAAGATTATTGTCCCGTTGTGACCCGAGCTTGGGACGATAATCGAGAGGAGTCTGTATAGACTGATCGTACACCGTATTGCCTCTGTTTTATCAGTCTTTTAACTAACAATTCATACAAAATTATTGTAAAAAATACTTGATACTATGTCACTGTCAATTTGACCATAAATATGCTGTTCAGTCGACTAAAGTATCCGACGAATTTTCAAATTTGATTTTCTCGAACAGGAAGCTCCACCTAGAAAAATTGTATTCAATAATTTCCGATTTGTTTTTACATATAGAATCAGCTTCTCGTTGGTTGCACTACGAATAACGTCTTGTATTTTATATTTTTTAATGTTAAATTTCAATCGATATGTATATATCTCATTTTTAGATCGTGGGTATAGAGAAGAATTAGAAAAGGAAGAAAAGAGAGGAACATCATACGATAGGTATGCATGAAGATAAAATTTGCAAATTAGAGAAGTGATTAATAAATGTTAGATTAAAATACAATTCTGATATTTCGATAGGCATAGATCTGACAGATACGGAAGGAGTGAACCAGAGAAACGTACCGATCGAAGACGGGGTCGAGAATCCCCGGAGTCTGAATACACCCGGACAAAGGATAAAAGAGTAGAGGAAAGAAGTAGTTTAGTTCCGATCCCACGAATGACAAAATACGAGCGTAGACAATTGTTTGCTATGAAAGTGGCAAAGGAAGAAGAAGAACGGCAACGCCGTCAGCAACAGGAATCATGGCAAGATCATGAAAACAGATGTTTGGCTTTAGGCATAGATCCTCATACAACTGCTATGGTAGACCCTCAAACAGGGTATCCTGTATTCTATAATCCATCGCTTGGACAATGGCAGCATTATCCTACACAAGGTATTAATTCGTTATTTTTGTTATTATTGTATCGGATAATTTTGTAAGTTTTCTCCGTGTTACGCGCGTGTCTGTCTGTGTACGTGTACTTTCGGCACAATATAGGGTGAGTCACCTAACGTTTGCACCTCAGATATCTTTGTTGTTTTTAAAGATACGTCAAATGTCTCTTGAGGACAGAGTTAAATAGTTTAATGGGGTTCACACGATACCAAAAAAATTTTTGTTTTCACGTCTTTTCTTTTAGAGATATTAAGATCACCTTCATTTTTCTAAATGGAGTCACACTTTTTTAAACACCTACAAATATACTCCTTTTCATTCAGAATTCTGTGACTATAATTATTCAAGGTCGTTCAAAAAAAAAAGGAAAAATAATTTAATCTTATTTTAAAATTATTTTTCTTTTTTTTTTTTAATGACCTTGAATAATTATAGTCACTGAATTCCTAATGAAAGGGACTATCATTGTAGGTGTTTAAAAAGGGGTGACTCCACTTAGGAAAATCACGGTGACCTCGAAATCTCTGAAATTCCTTCACTCACAAAAGAAGCACACACCTTACAAGATGTGCCCCTTGATGCGATTTAAATTCGACGCATCAGAATTTTCATAAAGTATACCGTTAAGTCATTATTCGAGGTTATGTACATCCCATAAATACAACTTCTTATTGTAGAAGGAGAAATAAGCCAGCAATGTACCCCGGTATACGTGGGAGGGCCTCAACCTGTACCTGGACACTCTCAAACCACGATACCGCCACAAAATTCGCATGTCCTACCCCCGACAATCTCTTCTGAAATCTCGCCCGGCATGTCGAGTAGCATACCTTCCGGTGTACCGCCAGTGGTGTACACGTTAGGCCAAACATCTGTGTTCAATCAAACGACAACAGCCTATCCTTTGGTACCTCACTGTCACCAACAATATCCTGACGGTCAGTTGCCGTTGTCGAACAATTTAGTCCACGGCGGAACGCCGCCAGTGGCGATTCAAACCCAGCCTCTGTACGAGCACATTGAGAAGCAATCGGATCAGCAGTTCACCGGGAAAACGTTCAAACCGCCGCAGCCGGAAATACCTGCCATAGATCTGCCGCCTAAATGGAAAAGCGCGATCGACGCCAGAGGTAGAACGTACTACTATCACGTGAAAGAACGGATATCGCAATGGCTACCGCCGCCGCCAGACCACATTGGCGTTCAACCGGATTCGTCCTCGTCGTCGGAGTCCAGCGAGGACTCGAGCTCGTCGAACGAAGAGGACGAGGAGATCGAGGAGGATAACAACGAGGATCCGAAAACCGAGGACGTAGAATTAAATAATACTCTGATGGAGAAATCATTGAACGGTTCTAAGCATAATATACCTAAGAAGAGCGGCGCACATAACCTAACTGGGGTTGCAGGGCCTGTTGTGCCGGAAGGGAAGAAACGACGAGAAGGATTGGTTCAAGAACGAATCATCAGTGTACGTTGTGTTTCGTTTAATTAGGATTGATTTCCTCTCTGGTGCAACGAGTACCTATGTTTATTGTTACGTGTTGTATTTTCTTGCAGCCGCGCAGAGAAGAAGATCGTGTCGACCATAAAACGCACAAAGGGATAAAGGAAAAAATACGCCGTCAAAAAGAAAGAGCGAAATTCAAGGAACACGTTGATAAAATACGAAGACATCGGCGTAGCAACAAATCGAAATCGCATTCGCGTCATAGCTTGAACAAGTTACAATCGCCTTCGACGGATTTGTCGACGATGTCGGAACGAAAGATCAAGGATACATTTAGGATAAATATGGCGAACGTGATGGTACACTTTTTGAATCCGTACAGAAAAAACGATTGTAAACAAGGTAGAATAACTAACACTGAAGATTTCAAACATCTTGCAAGGAAGGTACGTTCACAATACACATTTTTTTAGGTTGGAAATATTAAAATTCATTCGTTAAGACCCTTTGTTTGTTGTTTCAGCTTACGCATTTTGTACTTGCGAAAGAGTTGAAACATTGTAAGAGCGTTGATGAGTTGCAGTGTAATGAAAACGTTAAACATAAAGCTAAAGATTTTGTACGTAAGTATATGAGTAAGTTTGGTGCAGTATACCAGAAAAGTACAGACGAAGATTAATTATGTAACTTATAATGTGAAATTGTTATTTATTACGTGAATCCTTTACCTTGAATATTGTAATATATCTAGTAGAAATATATCGAAATAATGCCCATATGTAGATATATTTGTAATTATTATTATTGTAATATAGGTGAATTTGTACATGCTTCAGAAACATTCTGATAATATAGCCATTAAGAAATTATTAAATTTCTAACTTTATGCATTCAATGTATAAACTTGATATTTTCATTTAGTACGAAATAATATGTCTGTTAATCGTTTTTTTTTTAAACAAAAAAAAGGAATTGCATTTTATGTCCCCCTATAATGTATGTACATCCTGCACAGTTGCATTAGGTATTCATCTTTATCCCTGACATTGATTTCATGAAGAACAATTGTGAAGAATATTAAATCTATTGTTAAATATCAAATTGAATTCCTAAATATTGTAAATAGAATGTATTGTAAAAGAATTTTTAACCGTTTGATAAAAGTAAGTTTCAGTCGCTAATCCCTTACCCATATGTATATGAGAACAAATGAAATGAAAAACAGTAAATCTTGCATTCATATAATCATTTTCTATAAACATTTTTTCTACATGGTACAAAAATTGATTCTGTGATGCATGATTTTAAAACTGAAAGCAATGTACGATTTTAAATAAAATGAAATCTATGTTTACTTTTGAATTTTTACTTATTCAAACATTTTGACTTATTAATCAGATTACTGAATGTATATATTTAATGACCTATGTATGTTCTTATGAAAATCTAATAGATTTAAAAATCTTCTGACTATAAATGCAGACATAATGCAAAACACAAATCTGTAAATAAATAATAATGGAAATTCGTATACTTAATAACAAAATGTTAAGTATTTAGTTTTTCATTTTCTGATCAAGTTCGATTAATCGACTATATAGTTGCTTTCAGAATTGAGCATACACATAATGCAAAAATCTTATTTGTTCAATAAACTAAAAAACAGCTTTTTCATTAATCAAGTTGTATTGCAAATATGCACTTTTAGCAAACATTGAATCATTTTATAAAAACGTAAGTAAAATGTTCATATTATTTGATTAATAAAAATAAAAAAATAAGTACATATTGGTTTCATAAAATTGAGTCTACAAACAATAAAATTATGCAAACTTATTATCATTTGCAATTTATGACTGCTTACGAATGCTTCGGTATAGATTCTATTAATTTCTTTGTAGTGGAACACGAGATATTTTCTCGTATTCCTTTAAGTTTAAATTTGCATTTGTGATATTGCAATTTGAAAACTGCTTAACTTGATTCTAATCTTTCCATAGATGCTCAATAACAATTTTGATATATTATACTTTAAAAAAGTATGCCGTATGTTTCTTTTTATTTTTGCTAATAACATGACATGAACGTATTGTTTATGTCTTTACCAAATAATCAATTATTTGCTGAGAATGTATTTCGTATTTTGTATTTTGTTTCTTGAACAAATAAGGTTTCTGTATTATGTGTATATACTCAGTTTTGTGAGTAACTGTACGCCAGCAACTCGTTGCTCGTCGCATCTTTTCCGTTATTTTTCGTCTTTTTTACTTGCTAAAAATGAAAATGAGAAAAGAAGACCAAATCACACGATACTTAGAAGTTATCGTAGCTCGTTGACAGACCTGAATAGGGTTACTGAGAGCATGTTGTAATTATCCTACGTAAATAAATAGTTAAATACTGTTAAATACTTTGAAACCAAATAAGACACTACACTTCCGGTCGATAGAGGCGCTGATAAGAATTATATATACAAGAGGTGTTCTAAAGTTGAATACAGTTGAGTATTACGAAAAACTTGTAAAAGTAAAGTTTGTTTTTGCTTAAAAAGATGAATGTTCTCAAGCCAGAGTTAGTTTGGGTAGATGGTCGATGCTACAGAATGTTAGAAAAAACTGAGTCGGACGGTATTGTTCCTTATACCGAGGATGATTACTTTGACCATGAAAATCAGGAAGAATTTAACGATGCCGACATAGAAATTACACCATACGGGTCATCAAGATTTCAACATTCGTTTCATGTAGCAAAGTAAAAACATCTTTAATTATTATTTGGTATATAATATATATGTATATATGTATACATACTGATATTAATGTAACTACAATATTTTAGATCTTTTTTTCCAATTATCATTGGTTCTAAACACACGGTTCGCAAAAGAATAGAAACTGAAACAAAAACAAGTATACGAATTCCTAAAATGGGGCAGGATGGAGATATTGGTAAATATACTTGTAATATTTTGTGAATATCAAACTATCATTTTTGCTTGTTTGCAAGAGAACTGCACTGATTTTAAGAAAACTTTGTAAAAGGCAATGAATAAATATGTTTCAGACAAAGACCCTTAGTAGTTTACAATAACGATCACATTTGACTGGGTAACGTTTCTTTAACTTTATAGATTTTTCAAGAAAGAATAGTTATATAATGGGATTGGTCATAGCTTCTTAAGCTAGCAACTAAAATTTCTTAAAGTTTCATTTCTTCTAATAGAGAATTCAATATTTTGTAATTACTATATTCTACTGTGTTTTATCAAAATTAGCGTTTAACAGTTTGTATGGTTTCATTATAAGCCGTACATAACAGTAAAATTTTATTCCAAGTAATTTTTGAATGAGTTTTTAAGTAGAATCAATTTTATAGCTTAATACAAATGTAATATATGTAAATGTAAATATGCAAGTGACAGAAAGCACACAATTAAATGTGCATTGATTTTTATTACTTTACTTATAAATTTCGTACATTTGAAGCATGTGTAAATGTGAAATTTTTAATTGGAGATATAAATATTTGTTTAATCTCTTTTTTTATATGTTAATTGATAGAAGTGTGTATTGCATAAGGAACTGTTTAATCGCTGTGAAATAAAGTTTGAAATAGATATCTACTGTTATGAGTGGTATAATGATACCATGATATGGCATAAACAGTTTACATAATGTACACTTTATAATTATTGATTTATAGTGATAACTGGATTTAGTCGCAAAGGAATAATAACAGCACGCCGTAGAATAGATTTATTGATAGAAACATCAAGAAAAAGGCTGGGCTACACACATTTCTTATCTATACCTTTGCACGATGGTCATATAATAATGAAATTCAATGAATTCAAGAATAATGTACTCACGGAATCAGGAAAAGGATCTAGAGGCGTAAATGAAAAGATTTTTCAGACCCCAAGCAAATTGCACTTGACTATTGGATTGTTGAAATTGCTCGACAATGCAGAAAGAGAACAAGCGATTGCAGCCCTTGAGCATTGCAAAAAACATATTGTGAAGTATGTACACCATAACATTAAGAATATTTCTTACTATTGTGTAGCTTAGAAAGTTACTTCATAATCGTGACTTTCGTGAAAAATTATAGACCTATAGTGAAAAAATATGGTCAAATCCCAATATGCTTGCAAGGAACCGAAATAATGAATGACGATCCAGCTGAAACAAGAGTTCTGTATGCGAAGTTAATCGATAAGAATAATGCTTTGCAAGAAGTAGCAGATGAAATTGTGAATTATTATGCTAGTATTGGTAACCAGAATTATATACATATATTCTTTGTTACAATGAATTGGCTACGCGCGTAATGACATATCTGTTGTTCAGGTATGTTACAGAAAGAGAGGGAAACTGTTAAAATGCATGTAACTCTTATGAACATGAAGTTCAAACAAAGAGATGAAGATGGTAGCAAGGCGCACAAATCTACTGAAACATTTGACGGGTCAGGAATATTGAAAGTAAGTATGCATACGTGTATGTGTAAAATTAAGCTACAAGCAATGGAAATATTAAACGCTAATGTCTGGAAACTTTTAGGCTCATGCAGATACTTGTTTTGGAGAAACTGTATTAAAGGAGATACACATATCACAGAGACATACGATCGGCACTAATGGATACTACCAGACAACGGCAAAAATTGATTTAACTATGGATTCGTAAATGGTATGTATGTCGTTGTATGTGTATGCGTAATTCTGCAGACAGTAATGTCGAGAAACTCATTTAGAAAACAATTGTACAGAGTGTGCTACGAGAAATAACGAAATTGTATATACTAGTGCATTTGAAGATACAAAAGAAACGAGAACATAAGTGAAACTGAATTTTCCTGGTCATTATAATATAATTTATTTAACAGTTTGTACATTGCTGTTATTTATGAAAATTAACTGTTCCATTCAGTACCAGATGTAGGTCGTACAAACGAAAAATAATCATTGTAGCATATGTCTTTGTTCGAGTTACATAACTTACGTCTTACATATTTTTTGTACAACAATTAATTTACATAATCTACTATGTGATGTGAACCATCTTTTATAGTCTCTTATTCTTAGTAAAGTATTGAGCCTATATTCAAATAGATTTCGATTACATATATAATATAAAAGTATACAAAATATGTGAAGAAATATATAGACCCAGTATACACTTAAAATTACATCTTGATTTATATTGATATTATCTGTAGAAAAAAAATTGGTGTCGTGAACGCGGTGTCGTTCGGGTTATGTGGGACTGACCCCATGTTATATGGGAATACCCACTAAAAACCCCTCCTGTCTGTAACTTACAGTGTTACTCACCCCTACGCAGCGGAACGTAGCCTTGAGGCAATACTTCGTTGCCGGGGGAGTCGTATCCGTCCTTATGACGCTTCTTGACTCCGGCGGGAGTATTCTTCTTACTGCTTTCTTATGTGGTCTTCTTTCTTCTATCTTCTGCATCTTCTATTCATTTATACTTTCTACTTTACTTCTTTCTTCTTTCTTCTTTCTTCTCCTTTCTTTCTTCTCTCTTCTTTCTTCTTTCTATTACACTTTTTATCTATTTACCCTTATTTGTTTACTACTCTCTATGTCGTACTATAGCTCCAGTTTTAATAGTAGATAGCATTATAAGTGTCAGGTATATTTGTAAAAGTCCCCAAAAATAATAATAATAATAATAAATAAGTAAATAAGTGCGTTTACATGGTTATATGCATAGTATATTAATGTAATAAACAGTATCATATGAGCCGCTCAGTGCACACATCGATTAACTCCATAAAACGAAAAGTTGAGAAACGCGATGATGTAATGTATATTGTTTTTAAAAATTCCTCTGATAATATGAATTCAAATATATAATGTAGAATGCATAATTGCAGATATAGCTTTCATCTAACGGTATATAAAATTAATAAGAAAGAATAGCCAACAAACAATCGTCAGTAATGTTACAGTTTTTATGTGACTGGTGGAGTTAATCGATTTGGCAACTGAAAAAAGTAATAAAGTTAAATTTAGTCTTTACATTTTTAAGCTTTTTATTACAGAAAAAGTTAGTTATTATACATTTTTATCACAGCTTTTCCATAAAAATGAATGTTGGCAGTTCGGTTATAATATAATTTTTGTAATTAATTCATAGCAGCTTTATGTTAGCGGCATTATTCTTTGGGATGATTCAGCAATATTATAAATAATGTCTTCTTCATCAGCTGTATGCGAGGATTCGTCATTTCGATTTGTTGACAAGTTCTTATAGTAATCGTGTTTAACAGGAGGAATGAATTTTAGCAGGTCCATCATGTCTCTCCATTTTTCCTTTGTCACAGTTCTACCTTTAGGATATAATAAAGGCTGATCTATATTTTTCAAACTTTGCGGTCTACCCACTAAAGATTTTCTTATATTAATGGCTTGAAATTCTGTATCTTCATTATAGTCACATTTGAATTGTATGAGATAGGGTTTGGACCTTTCTAACTTTATCCAGCGTATTTTAAGCCAATTTACTGGAAGCCCTGTGACGGTTACTTTTCTGTTAATGATAGACTGTTCTAAAGGTTTTGTTGACAAAAAATCTTGGTGAGTCATTTGGATTAGATGAAATGGCGCTTTCTTTTTACATGTTTTGATTATATGGTACCAATCATCTGGTGAAAAAATGTTTTGATTTTTTTTCGCACATGACTCAATAATGGCAAAATCTGAGTCATTGGGCAAATAGCTGTGTCCACTTACCAAAAATTTCATGTCAATTGATTCAGCTTTGATTTCCGTGCTTTGAACAAGTTTCAATAAACTTAAGACGGTTTTAATATTTCTGTTTTGCCCGGTACACGAATCCGAATATGTTATTATTTTTTCGAAGTTTGCAGCGTAAGTCTTTATGTACTTTATTAGACAAGATGAAATTTCTTGAGACCCACGAGATCCTTCAGTTTCTGGCCAAACAAACATGTGGCTTATATTTTTATTGAATTCATGACATCCAAAATTATAAACATATAAATTTCGCTTATAATAAGCTACGGATGTGGTCAACTTGGGAAAGGCTAAAGCTTTTTCAACTCATTATTTTCTTTATGTAGTCTTTTATGGCCTTCCTGTTATTTTCGTCTTTCAGTTCTTCTATTAGATTCTCAGGTGTTAGTATCTTACCAATTTTCTCATTCAGTTGCTCCATGTCTGTTAGCCATTCTCTACATTCACATAATGTATGCTTACCGTCGTCTATTTCATCCTCGCAGAACCAACACCTTGCACTATCTATTCTTCCAATTCTATTTAGATACTCCGCAAAGCATCCGTGTCCTCCTATGCTTTGCGTTAGGTGATAGTCCAGGATTCGAGGGCCCCACTCCACCCATTCTAACGTTTGGGATGAGTCTCCGTGTCCATCCCCCGTGTTCTTCATTGGTCCATTCTTGTTGCCATTTTTCAATGGTTCTGCTTCTTTCCTCCTTTTTAATCTTATCCTTGCTTGTGTTGTCTCCAACATCTTTCTTTATCTCTTCTTGTTTTTTGAAGATTCTGCTTCTTTCTTTCACTATTAATTTCCATGGAGGCTGCCCCGCCATAACACACAGCGCAGCGTGAGATGTTGTACGGTACGCCCTCGTTAGCCTAATTAACATCATTTTTTGTACTCTGTTTATTTTTCTTCTATTCCACTCTATATCTAGTGCACTCTGTCAAACGGGCACACCGTACATTATTATAGACTCGATGACCCTGTAATACAAACTTCTGGTGTGATATGTAGTGCCTCCTGTATTTGTCATTAATCTAGCAAGTGCCCCTGCCGTTCTGGTGGCTTTCTCGCACGTCTTATCTATATGCTCTTTGTACCTTTGATTGTTTTCGATGCTCACCCCCAGATATTTGACACTTCTCGAGCTCTGAATACTTAAATTTCCCATACTTATTTCTAGATTGCCTTTCATTTTCCTCCCTGTGAGCAGGATTATTTCTGTTTTCTCCTTAGCGAGTTTCATATTTTCACCTTCGAACCATTTTTCTATAACTTTCACTGCGTTATTTACTTTCTTCACTATGACGTCCGTGTTTTTTCCATATATAATTAGCGCCACGTCATCCGCATATCCTATCAGTTTGGCTCCCTGTGGCAGTCTGATTTTCAACAAAGAATCATACACCAGATTCCATAATATGGGGCCCAATATGGAACCCTGTGGAACCCCGGCATAGACTTTTTTTGTGTGCCATTTCCCCTCAGCCTGATATGCAATTTCCCTATTCGTGATATAATCTTTTAGTATATTAGTTAGTTTTTTACTTAATTTTCTTCTTTCGATGGTTTCCACTATGCTTTGATGTCGCACTGTATTAAAGGCATTCTTTACATCCAGTGTTACCAGAATACAGTGTTGTTTTCTTACTTTAGCCTCGTTCCATATCTGCCCTGCATTAATGAGCGCATGTACCGTCGATTTTCCCTTCCGGAAACCATACTGGTTACTTTCAAAGTCTGTTTCCTCTAATATTTTGTTCTTTATTATGCATTCCATTACTTTCGCCATGTTAGAAATCATGCACAGGGGCCTCCAATCTGATGGGGCCCCTGTTGTTTCTGCTTTCTTCGGTATAAGTGCTAGTTTCCCTAGTTTCCAAACTTTAGGGAAATACCCTAGGTCATAGCTTGCCTTGAACATGTTGGATATCATTCCAGGCCTTTGGTCCACCAGTGTCTTGACTATTTTCCCCGGCACTCCATCTATTCCGGGGGCCTTTTTTTCATTAAGATTTTTTGCTATCAGTTTTATTTCTTCTATTGTGATTTCCTTGTCTGTATTTTCTATTGTGTTTGCTTTTTTACTTCCTAATAACTCGTCTATTCCTCTCTTTTCTAGTTTATAATTCTTGTTGTCATTCTTCAGCGTTTGTGGTTTTGTAACAAATAGTCCCTCGATTATTTTTTCTGTGTCTTCCTTGTTAGCCTTATTTGGAGGTGTCCTGAGCTTAAGCATTCTAAGGACCGCCTTATAGGGTCTTCCCCATGGGTCCCCCTCCACCATATCCTGAAATTCTCTCCAAGCCTTGATTTTTGCTAGTTTAATTTCTTTATTCAAACTCCTCTTTGTCTCTTTGTATTCTATTCTTAGACTCTCAATGACAGCTTCTTCTTTCTTTTTCTTCCTGGCTCTCTGCAGTTTTCTTCCAGTCTGATGGCTGTTCTTTCTCAGCTCCTGCATTTCTGTTTTCCACCAGTAGGCTTTTGGTTTATTTTGTATCGCTTCCGGCATTGTTCTGCGCGATTCCTTTACCGCTTCTTCAATTATTGTAATATATTGGTCTATCCTGTTTATTGTCAATTCGGTGCTATTCAAGTATGCAGTTTTATTATCATATTTTTTCAAGAAGGTCTTATAATTTATTATGCCCTTGTTATTAATGTTTTGATTATTATTACTATAATTGTCCTTGTTCTTATCAGTATCAGTTCCATTCTTACTTCCGTCTGTTTTACTTCTATTATCTTTTCTACTCTTTGTTATCTTAATTTTGTTATTAAAATTGTGTAATATATATTTGTGGTCTGATCCCGTGTATTTTCCCATGATTGTACTGCTCTGTAAGGTCTGATACGGTTTACTGTCAAGTATCATGATATCTATTAACGACGTCGCTCCATTTCTTTCAAATGAATATTTCAGGCCTGAGCTTTTGACTGTAATCAGCCTATGCTTCGCGCAGATATCCAGTACTCTGATTCCTTTGCTATCAGTTTTATTGGACCCCCAATCCGTTGCTTTTGCGTTCAGATCACCAGCTATTATGATCTGTTTATCCTTAATTTCTTTTATGGTTACATTTATTTCGTTTATTATCCTAGTAAATTTTCCTATGCGTATATTTGGGGATATGTAACAGCTGAGGTAAACCGTATTGTTCACCTCCACCGCCACATATCCTTCCCCTTTTTTATTTAACTTAAAATGGTTTGTGCCTTATTGTTTCCCCTTTCGGTGATCCAGATCGCAGCCAGCCCTTCGTTGTCTGAACCAGTTTGAGGGTGTTTTGTAGGGTTCACTTACTATTACTACGTCGATTTCCTCTTCGTCCGTAGTTCGGTCCATTATGTCTTGAGCTAACCGACATCTATTTAAGTTAATCTGTAGTATCTTTATATTATGACTGCTTTCCATTTCTTTTGTTTTATTATTGTCTCTATTTCTATTTTTGTTTCTGTATTTACTGTTGTCCATTATTCCTTATTTAGTTCATTGGGTCTTTCCTTACCTTCCTTGTTTGTTTTCTTTTTGGCTTTCGCTTCTATATAACCAATCTTGTATTTGGTGTACCTGGTACTATCCGTTGTGTGCCCTTCCGTGTCGCAAAGTGCCCATCGTGCCATGTCTGTGCAATGCTCCGCATTATGTCCTTCTTTAGTACACTTTTTACAGTGCCGTGGGGAGCCCGCTCGCTCACTCCCTATTCCGGCAGGTACTGGGGGATCCGAAGCCCCCTGCACCGTAGACTTCTTTTTTGTATTTAACCAGTCCATATTTATTTATGTGACTATAGATCACTCCCCTCCCGCCTAGTCTGGACGTGAGGGGGGAACGTTACAGGCCTTGAGGATATTTGTGCGCGCGCGCGTGTGTGTGTGTGTGTGTGTGTGTGTGTGCGTGCGCGCGCGGGCGCGCGTGTGTGTGTGGTTGTTTTATGTGTGTGCATGCGTGTGTAGGTACTGCTGTGCAAGGAGGAGGCAATGCCATGGAGGTAAACACCCCACCGGACGCATTTCCATCAGAGGGTGTATTTGTCTGTAGGAGCCGCTATACCAGGAAAAGTCAATGCCATGGCGGTAAACATCGCCCCCTCCGGGTGTAACTCTATAAGAGTGTGTTTGTGTGATAGTGTATGAATGTGAGGGAGGGGCCGTTACACCAGGGAGGTGCAGTAATCTGTCCTGGGCGCGATTTCCCTCGTGTGTGTATGCAGGTGCATGTGTATGCATGCTACGTGTAAAGTGTAGGAGTGTATGTATGTGTGAGTGTAAGTTTGTAGGGGGGGGAGAGGTGGGATTAGGGATAAGGAGGGGTGGGAGTAGAAGGAGACACGACCAGACGTGGCCATTCATCCCTTCGGCACGTTACCTACCACCTTGGGATTATCGGGTCGCGTGAGCTCGGGTGCCTCGGGGTCGCTATACCCGCACCACAGCCGGACGAGACCGACTGTAGCCCCTGAGGGAGAGATATTTCTACAACCTATAGTGTAATAAACATAACAATCGTTATTTTTCAATTGTTTCTAATTATGTTGGTTATATTGTCATTTGAGCAGCAAGTTTAATAGAAAATTAATTATTATTGTATCTGTGAATGTTCTCAAGGACATTTGTAAAGATTTTCATGTACATGTTCCCTTAATGGCATTTCATCGAAACACTTCCATCTATTTAGAAATATTCCATTTGCTGCCTTTTATGCCTTCCTTAACCTGTATATCGTCTAGTCAGACTCTTGTTGACGATTTCAAAATCGATTCAACAAAGAAGAATATTATTTGGTTTTCTTCGAGTCGAAGTGAAATCCCACGTTGCTGGCATTAATATTTAACTTTCATAGTAAAGATACAGTTGCGTTAAGTACAGAATTCTTTTCGTCTCTGGAAAACTATCGACAACAATGTAATCTTGGAGTCTGCAAACGTTAAGAAAATCGTAGGGCAAGGGGTTAAATAACTTCTAAATGATGCATGTTTTTGATGATTCTGTATATTACCTATTGTTTCCTGTTATTGTTTGTGCACTATAGTGAATTAGAAGTACTATACAAGTTTTTAGAATGAATCATTCTAAATTCTCCACTATATATCAAATTATCTTGTACCACAGTATCATCATAATATCTTGCATATTATCAAAGAGTAAATAGAACGTTGACTTTCATATTAAAAAACAAAGATGGTGAAATCTTAATAAACGTGGTATAATATATTTTTCTAACTACTGAATAATGCTTATAATAGGGTACCATCTGTATCGGTGAAGATTTTGTAAATTAATGTGTTAGAATGGATAATAGATGGAATGTTGCTGTTTGTAATATTCCAATTGAATACAAATTTAATGTGCATTAGAAATACGATTAATGACATTCGACTTAATCTTATGTGTTATCCTACGTACAATTGAACACTTCTTTTTATCATATTTTTATGTTACATATGTATCTTTGTAAATTATGTTCATCGAGCATTGACAAATGTACATTTTAGCCGAAAACGCATGCGTAATGAGTGACGAGGGTATGTCACTCGACGTCAAATTAATAGACGAATCAGAATTGTACGTTGGTTCTTATCAAATTGTGCCCACACGATAACACTTAAGTTTCCGTTTTTTATCATTGCAAAAGTTCTAACCTCTCTTGACTTGAGCGTCATTTTTATAATAAATCAACGAAAAATTATATAAAAAATCCGAACAGTGGTTTTTAATGCATTTTTTGTAAATCTAAATAAATATGTAAATAAATTGTACTTTATCGTGGATTAAATGAAATCTTTCATGAAGGAAATAAATTTGCAGTTTAATTTTAGTTCAGTAAATTATTCAGTGAATTTATATAAAAATCCAGTTTGGTAATCAAAAGTTTACTTGTACTTTTTTTTTAATATCATAATCTCACCTGTAAGACAAATGTGAAACTTATCTGTATTTAAGTAAACAAGCATTCTGTTACATTGAATTTTAATTATTTATACATGATATTTATACACTAGAATAACTGTTATAATATCCAATTTTCGAAGTTATCACAAATGTGTTAGTGAAAAATGTATGTAATGCAACCGAGGGTGTTAATAGTTTAGCTCATAGCATGTTTTTCCAATAATAATAATTAACTGTTGTTCAGAAAATACTTGTAATTTTTTTTACATACAAACTTTGCTAATACAAAAAGTAATTGAAATATGTAGTTGCATTAATTGTAAATGTAATCACTCGTCGAATCAAATTCTTAAATTTTGTTATGTATATGTCTATTGTTATGATACCTTACGCTTTACATTATATATTTCTTGGTATCTATGGAAATACTTTGTTGATCGAAATAAATTTTGTTACTGCATATAATGCATACGTATTCAATAATTAATATAAATTTTTAAAGACTTTAGGTAGACATGCGGGGTATTAGAAGACTATTAGTTTTCTGTACATTAACAACAATATTACCGATTATACTTCTTGTAACACCTTTGTATCTACGACATAATTTTTATGCCAATGTTGCATATACTGTAACTGAGTCTGATATCCTGGAGATTGCTGATGGAGTTTCTACAATATTTTGCTCAGTAAGAACTTTTTTTTTTAAGTAATTAATTAAATATAGCAAAATATCCTGTCTTTTGCATAGAAGAGCAAATACTGGCTGAATAAAAAAATTATACACATGTATTCGTTTCTATTAAATGAATTAACATTATGGTCGTTCACACAGGAGCTTACTTTACAAATGAATAGAACCTTCAATGCATTTCAAATCTCACACAAACCGGAAATAACTTCGTATAAAAAGCATATACGTCTTAAGAAAAGTATGACCATACCAGATGACACTCTAGAGTATTGGGGATTTTATCTCTTACAAGGAGCAAGTGTAGCGCTTTCTGTTTGTTCAAGGTATAAACTTAAATTTTGTTTGAATATTAATATTTCTTCTAGACACATGGCCTTGTGCATTTATAGAGTATATGTGATCGTAAATTGTGTAAATAAAATCATTAATGGTGGAAATAATTTCTTAGTGTATCGCTTATTTCCAAAATCTTGACTTGTTTATTAAAGTTTAATTAATGATCATATAGGTTCGAAGGAGCTTCCATATTACTTGTTAAAGGGGAACGTAATCTACGAACGTGTGGTATGCTAGAACACAATCACAACGAGCAAATTGTTGAAAATATATTTTTACCAGAAGCGAAGCAACAAGTTAAAGTAATATTTACATCGAACACCGAGGAAGCTACATCCCAAAAGAATCCTATTAAAAATAAATTATCACGGAATGTTACTCCGAAAGCTACCAACGAAGTTCTTACTGATTTACATAGGAATATAAGTAACAACGTATTGTTCAACAAAGAGATCCGTGTAAAGAAACTGAAAGAATCGATGGAAAGTACAAAAACTACAGCATCACCTCTGGAAGATACTGTGTATAATACGAGAAAACTGAGGCATACCAAAAAGAGAGGGTACACTAGAGAGATGGAAGAAAAAAGAAGAAATATGTTGCAACAGACGGAAATAAACCGTAGTTTAGAAAAGCACAGTGTAGATAGTATTAACAAGGAAAGAAAAATGGAGAATACAGTGTCCAATAAAAGAGTTAAAAGGAATCAAGAATTTATTCAGCCACCATTTCTACTTGATCAAGGCGTTAAACACGGTGGAAATGCTGTTATAAATACAACAGATATAGAAAATGATTCTTCTATATCCAGTTTTGAAAACGATCTCCTCAAATGTTATGGTGGTTCGATTCTTATGGCGCAAGAATTCGCACCATCCGAACAGTGCACGAATGTCACTTATTTGCTTAGCGGGAAACACATGCAAGCGACCCAGAATATTGTCGAAAGTGGTTATTATTATTACATTTTTTACAGCGACAATGATATCGTGTCAAACGATATACACGCGGTGTTCGATATTTACAAACCCGTTCTTCAGTATGAGAATGTAACAAAATCGTGTATAAATCAAACGGAATGTTCCTTTTCAGTAAGTCTGCTCTCAGCGGACAGAGTAATCGTTGAAGTACCAACCAAGGATGGTGTTGAATATGAAATAGACGATGGTAGCTTACTTCTGTCAATTTGTCAACCACGTATGGAAGTGTATATCGTTTTTCCTATCGCAGTATTACTTCTAATCCTTACTTGTGCTTTCATATAATGTTCACTTCATCTTGAATATAGAATAATACATAGAACGTACAATAGAAAATAACATGTGCATTTAGTTACAACAATAAATTATAGCAAAGAATTGCATATATGGATGTACAGTGGATACAACAAATATGTACACACTTAGCTCTTTTATAGTAACAAAAGATACATTACAGTGGGGGATTTTATAATATAATACGGAAGTCTGTAAAATTATTTTTAAACAATGGGTGCGTGCAAATACTCTATCTACTCACTGTGAATTATTTACAAAATAAATAATGGTATGTAGGATCTATTTTAGATATGATTTAGAACTGAAAATAGTTAAATGTTAATATAAATATAGAACTTGCTTTCTGTTTCGGTGATGTCGCTTTCGTGATTTGGTGACTTATATTTACTTATTTTTGGACAAATTTTTCAATGGTTTCGATACTGGTAACTGTAAAGGGTTCGGTTTAATCATTAAAACACAGAAGCGACTACAACTTGAAAACTTAAAGTATGTTATATGTGTTGTGTGTATATATACATGTATATATATTCATTAATATCAGTCCAGATGTGTAATAATATGTACATATGTAGACAATTATAATACTCTTGCCCACGTTTTACAATGAAACGATTATATGTAAGAGAGTATTCGTTAGATATGGTAGAATGAACAAGGTGAAGTATGTTATATAGATTTAGTATGATCTATTACAATGCACTGTTGCATTTAATGCAAGTTTGCCAAATTACATATATATATATATTTTTACCAAACTGTTTTTATTAACAATAAAAAATATTTATTATGGACATTTTTTTTACCCTTTTGAAACCCAATTTTCAAATTACATAGTTTATCACTTATTAAAGTCATTTGTTTTTATATTTATTTATTACAAGCATTGAAATTTATTACTTTGTAGAAAAAAAAACGGAAATAAATAAACCTAAACAGTAATATTATTGTCAATAAAGAAACCAATATGTAGGTATGTATAAGATACATATAACGAAAAGAAACTATTGTACCAATACATGTAAAAATGATTAAATGTTGAATTTTTTAATTAAGTAGCCACAATATAAAAAGTAATGTCATTTATAAATAATTGAAATGAAATGTTTTTAATAAAATATATATTCAATTAGTATCTGATAAAATTAAACGACCTAATACTAGATAAATATAAATACTATTGGTGCAGTAAAGCAGTGTTGGGCAGAATTTTATTAGAATAATACACAATGAAAAGCAGCAGTACCTAAGGGTGTCGTTCTGAGCTTTAAACAGTTAATGAGATTAAACAATTGTTCGACAAATGTCGATTCATTCATAAACAGGTATTATTTTATTATAAAAATTGATATTTCCACGTTTAAACAATTAAAAATGACGAAATACGTTTTTTTATCTTTTATTCGTTATTCGAAACTTTTTATCTAGTTAATGAGTTTGCCAATCTCTGCAGTAAAGAGTAGGTTAGCCAGAACGAAGCTATAGATTCAAATTAATTTAAAGAAAATTTAACGCAGAAACGAAACTTTTGTGCGCTTTGATCTTACATTCGTATTTGCCTCACACACCCCACTAAGAGGTCGCAGGGGATTCTGGGTAATTGACGCACTTCCTTTATGCGCAATCATCGTTTACAAAGAGAATTGCCCCGAAGTTGAATGAATTGCAAAACACCGGTCTCAGAGTTGTAAAAGCACATATCCCGGACAGTTTGCTCGGTATTTCAAAAACATCGGGCGAGATGAATTGCTCGGAAAGATCGGTAAAATTTCGAAGAACGCTCGCAGCGCCATTGCGCGGCGCTCACAAGAATATTCCTTGTGACGCAATAGGAACTCGTCCTTTCCGTCGACCTACCGTGAGTTGAACATGTCGCATACGTCTGAGCGAAGGTAAGTTCGGTTTTTCCCCCGTAATCGCAAAAGATGTTCGCTTTTCAGCGTCTTACAAACTCTCCGTTTGCCTTGTGTTACCGCGAATCTTTCATCGTGTCGAATCGGACGTGGATAGTTCGCGGTATATTCGGAAAAAATAGTGCCGCAATCGATGGATGCATGGACATGAGACTGACAATATGGCGTGCATTCGTTTTTGTCACATTGTTCATGAAATTAATATCAGAACCTCACTCGGCGGCGATATTTCTAACCTTCTCGTACTCGGACGCCGAAGCGAGAGAAATTGTTTGTTCTTTACATTTTACGCTGTTTCATGCGCATTTTCGTTGGAACTCTAAAGAAGCCTAGCATGTTACTCGTACACGAAAACACGTTTTGCTTTACACTTGAAATTACGTAATAAAAAATTAGTTTTTCGAGGAAATTTGATGGAAAAAATGTTGAATGAAACTCCGTAGCTTCCGAAGTACACGAAAAATTGTCAGTCTGACGACTCCGATTTAAACGCGCCTTACCTGCTCTTCAGGCATGCTTTCGCGTGAGTCACTGTCAACGCATCCATCAAGACATCGATAAATTCATTATATCTGTTCAACAGTTCCTCTCCGTTAGTAAATTGTTGCACGTGTCTGTCAATAATATTGTAAATACAATTATATTCGATCTAAGTTTCAAGCAATATCAAATTGCATGTTTTAAGGTCATTATTATGGATTACTTACATTTAGTTGCCATGATTTCGGTTTTATTACTGTATTAATGAACTTACACAATACGAATTTGTTTCCTTCTTACGAAATCATGGTTAATAAATGAATTTTGTTTAATAGAATTATTATACAATCCTTGGCGTATGCTTTAATATTATGAATTTTAATCTGTTTATTTATATTTCAGAAACGATGATCAATGGTCAGGAGATTCCAAAAATGGTCCTAGTGAAAGTGAACAATCGTCATATGAAGGGCCCTCTGGCATGGACCCAGGTGGGATCATCGAAACGAATTGGGATGTTGTAAGTTAATAATTAACTTTAACCATTACGAGCGTGAAAGTGGAAACTTACTAACATCTAGTTTGCGTAATGTTCGTTTTCAACATAAACTTCTGTAAATAAATTTATGGAAACTGAAATCAAAGAGAAAGTTGTTTACTCTGTTAAGAATTATATCGGATTTCAAGTAAATCAGAGATTTCACTAAAAATACTTTATTTACTATATGGGTTTTAAAGTATATTATAAATGCATCGAATTCACAAATTAGTTAGTAGTATTTATTATATTTTATCCATCTTCGCATAAGGAGCAAATAGTAATTGTACTGACTGTGTATGTGTTAAACATTAATTCTTGTGTATTTTGTTGCGTTAAAATTAGGTCATCGACAACTTTGATGAAATGCACTTAAAAGAAGAACTCCTCCGTGGTATTTACGCTTATGGCTTTGAAAAACCATCTGCAATTCAACAACGTGCCATTCTGCCATGCATAAAAGGACACGATGTGATTGCACAGGCACAGTCAGGTAAATAATAAATGTAGTGCTTGCCTGACATCACACATGTAATAGGCTTCATTTCTAATTTATATAATTTTTCCTAGGAACTGGCAAGACTGCTACATTTTCAATCTCCATTTTACAACAAATCGACACTAGCATCAAGGACTGTCAAGCTTTGATCCTAGCCCCAACTCGTGAGCTTGCTCAACAAGTGAGTGGTAGTTAATCTGTAATGGCAATTAATAAACATAGAAAACTAACGAAATTATTAATCAATATTTTCTTAATTTTTAGATCCAAAAAGTGGTTATCGCTTTGGGAGATTTCATGCATGCCGAATGCCATGCATGCATTGGTGGTACCAATGTACGCGAGGATATGCGGAAACTCGATCAAGGTGTTCACATAGTAGTTGGCACACCTGGTAGAGTTTACGATATGATTAGTCGGCGTGCGCTACGGGCCAGTAGTATCAAACTGTTTGTACTGGATGAAGCTGATGAAATGCTTTCTCGCGGTTTCAAGGAACAGATTCACGATGTATTCAAATTATTACCTCAGGAAGTGCAGGTACGTTGGGTTTTTAATTACATTTTTGGGCAATGGTAATGAATCTGGCAGTCAAATTTAAGTCAAGTTAACCCTTTATGGATGTGGCCCGGGCCTTAAAAAGTTGGAATGAGAAGGAAAGTCGGGGGAAACAGTCTCCACAGGTAATGTCCACGGTAGTTTCAATTGCGAGACTATGTGATAGCTATTGACGACAAAATCAAAGCTGGGCCTTGGAGGGGTGTAACGAAACGCCCCTTTCCCGTGTAATAACGTTCAAATTAAACTCATCCTCTATGGGCCCGTGTAACTTTCAAGTCACATACTAATATATCGATATTTTCCTTACGAATCTTGTTATATAATATCTTCTCACTAACCAATAACATTATAAAACAAAAAATTGTTGAAAAAACATGTTGGGTTCATTATTAATCTGTATTTTCAATGTATAGTCCTGAAAAAAATTCGACCCATAAAGGGTTAAAAGTTAGCAACACATCGTATGTCCGAATTTTAAATATACTGTTGAACGTGAAGACGGTACAATACTTCGGACAGATAGAATTAATAAAATAAATAGAAATTTGTCAGTTATATACAATCATCGAAATATTTATCATTCAAAATAGTGATTTTCCTTATTAGAACTATATTAGCCTGACTCCTTTCAGATTTTAATTAGGAGAATACATATAATTATTGGGTTTGGCTAATTAACTTCTTGCCTTACAACATCGAATCAGACACGTGATAACGATTTCAAACTGAATTTAGTAAACATGTATATTCGTTTTCTTTGAGTCGACGTGAAATACTGTTGCGCTGGTATTAACATTTAAGATTTAGAATAAATGTAACACATGAGAATAGAATTCCTTTCGTATCTGAGAAAATATTAACGATAAAGTAATTCTTGAGAGTGAAGTTGTAAAAGAAATCATATGGCAAGGGGTTAACGTGTCAACTGCTATGGTTGTCACTAATTACTGGCACCATTGAATTAAATGAAAAAACATTTAATTTCTAAACACTAACATTTAACATCTTGCGAATATAATTAGTAGTGAAATAATTATCAAAATAATAAGTGTTCCAGTCAGCACGTAAATATTTATCGTTGTAATAACAAACATAGATGTACTATATCACTATTGTCTTAATGGTTAATAACGTTTGGTTGTACCATATATAAAATGGAAAGGAGAATGTTTATGGAGTTTACATTTTTTTTTCAGACCAATTATTTGTCATTTTAGTGACAGGTAAGTGACTAAATAGTCAGACGTGTTTTGCAGATTGTTCGTTGAGGTTGAGTTTTTGTAAAATGCAAATTCAGACGTTATGGGGTTAGATTGTTAGATGATGTACTACACCCATACCTCGCTTTATGGCCTAGATACGTTCCGGAAAAGTTGTCCATAAAGCGAAAAGCCGTATAACGAATCAATTATTTTGATACAAACCCGTACAAATTCAATTGGATCTGTTCCAATTTTTTATAAAATAATATAGTTTTTAGTTCATGAAGTATTTTATTCTTTTTATTTCCAATAAAAATGCTAACAGTACAGCATTTTTTTTGGTCGTATAACGAAACATTGTGGGCCGTAAATCGAAAAAGTGCCATAATTAAAAAAGGCCGTTATAGCGAAGTGCCGTATAAAGAGCGGCCGTATAGCGAGGTATAGGTGTACTTTATTCTAGTAGTATGAATAATGAATATATAAAGAGATTGTGAATGTAAGAAACCGTTACTTTTTAGGTTATATTGTTATCTGCTACAATGCCAACTGATGTCTTGGAAGTGTCTACATGCTTTATGCGAAATCCAATTCGTATACTGGTGAAAAAGGAAGAGCTCACGCTGGAGGGTATTAAACAGTTCTTCGTCAATGTCGAGCGCGAAGAGTGGAAATTTGAAACTCTGTGCGACTTGTACGATACATTAAGTATTACTCAGGCAGTTATTTTCTGCAATACACGGCGTAAAGTAGATTGGCTAACGGAAAATATGCGCACTCGTGATTTCACGGTTTCTGCGATGCATGGAGATATGGAGCAGAAAGAACGAGACCTGATCATGAGACAGTTCAGAACTGGATCGTCTCGTGTCCTCATAACTACGGATCTTTTAGCGCGTGGTATTGATGTTCAACAGGTTTCGCTTGTCATCAATTACGATTTACCTTCCAACCGTGAAAATTATATTCATAGGTGAGAAAATTATATTCAGAGAGTGAAATAATAAATATTCTGCACTGAGTCTTCGGAAATGAGACAATTCATGGAAATTATGTTACAGAATCGGTCGAGGCGGTCGTTTCGGTCGTAAAGGAGTGGCTATTAACTTCGTAACAGACGACGACAAACGGGCCTTAAAAGATATTGAACAATTCTATAACACTCACATCGATGAAATGCCAATGAATGTCGCAGATTTAATCTAAAATCTGGCTATTGGCTATAATTCATTATAATTACAAAAAAAGAAATAAAAGTAAGTGAAATACGGAGCTCTCAGCTGATCTCTCATGGTGTGTGAGTATATATAGAGTGAGTCGGTGTATTACAGTCGCTTATGTAAACGCGATTTACCAAAATATTCCAACGTTCTCATCTCAATTTCATTTTATAACAGTAGACTACAGGAATAGTTACTCGCTCCACTAGAGAAATTAGTACTACTATATACAATAATTATTACAATTAACAGTACGGATATATATATACATATATATATATATATATACATATACATATATATATATACATATATATAACTATAATACTATTTCTATCACTATACGATCTTACCACTGTTATATTACCGTTAACTGGTGTGTACATTCTTGCGATTTTTTCTCGTTCTATATATATTTATTCCTACATTTCCTGCTACCACTTCAACTACACGTAACTACTATTAACATTGCTGGATACTCCCCCCCCCTGTCTTACTGTCACAAAAGCCGGATTCGCTAGGAATTCTCGGCGCGAATTTTTCGAATTAAATCATACACAATTATTGTGATTGTTGCTGGCGCGACGCGATACAGCAGAGAAACGCAAAGTGTGAAGCGAGGTACATTTTATCCAGTTCGGTTGTGTGTTTTCTAACCTCTTTGCTGCTACCGTCCTTTCGAATCGGTGACCTTTCTATTTGTCTAGATGCATCCACCGTGTTCTCCCCCTACGTGTCCAGATTTAGTAATTATGAGCTTCAAGTCCTTCATCTTGAATCATCTTATCATTTCGCCGTATATTTTACGCGCGTTCTCCAACTGGATGATGATTCATTCCGTGATCCTTGGCCCGTCTACGACGCTTCTACCACCGCGATTGCAACGTGTTCGTCTAGGCAGAGGTTTAGTTGGGTATTGGAAGGGGTACTTTAATCACAAGCGTTGCCGAAGGAGATGTACAATTTCAGGCTTAGACGATACGAATTTTTTGTATATCCTAAATCCCACGTACAATACCTTCAATTACGAGAAATAAAGTGTTTGACCTTTTAATTGTGGTTTTTGTTATTACATTCATTGATGATTAATGCACGCGTGCTGTGCTCGGTGTAACGAGAAACTCTCCCGGAAAGAAACAAAGAAAGGCAACTTTCGAAAAATCCGGTGTGTAATATTCGTGAATGTAAAGATTTTGGGCGATTCAGTGTGTTATCGCCGGATCGAGAGTCGGGGGAACAAGTTCTATGAACCAGCATCCATTATTAAAACGAAGTTCTCACAGTTTCCTTATTTGTATTTGCAGGCAATTTTGAGCAGTCCAGAAATGAGGGAGATATTTTTGGAAATAAAGACCAAATTTCGTGATTCAGTATAGAAGTTTTTGTAAATCCGATTACCTTTCTAGTTTCCTGCCCTTTGCAGGCTGTCAGCAATATATAAATATTCATTTTATTATTTATATATATGCTCGCATAATTTATTCATAAATAATTATAGAACCATTCACCATAATCATTTTATATCTTGGCAATAAAAAAACTATGAAAGTACTTTCCGCCGTATTCGTTGTATATCTTGTGCGTTTGGCTCTAGGAATTAAAATTCTGATCTGTTTCCGTACATTGTGAAAAACGTGTTTTGCGTTCTCTATTTATCCGTGACATTGTATTAGAGATGATAATAATATCACCGTTTCTTATGGTTTTCGAAAGTTGGAGTAGTATCTTATTGCCGCTTCGAACAGATAACAAGTCTTTAGACCTTTGTGTTGAAACGTGTACGTGTACAGAGATTGCTCGAATTTCCGAAAACTGTTCAATGTTGAATTCTGTAAATATCACAAATAATTTCTGGAATGGTGTCCTATCTGCTGTATTTATGAATTATGAAATAGCTATGATGAAATTGAATTGACAGAATGTTACTTGTATGTAAGTATTCATCGCTTCACATTATCCATTTTCACGTATACCTGTTCACCTTACCACCTAGGTATTGTGGATTAAGATGTATATGACATTATGCTTTTAAATGTGAAGTTTTATATATTGAATGAATACACGTTAGAAAAACCTGTAGCTAGATCTGTTTTTGTAATAATATTGAAGTGCAGTTATTTGTAAAACAATGGAAAAAATCGTTATTTAGAAAGATTGTTTAAGGAGATTGAGATACCACTGCCATGCATTTTGAACAGTTACATTGAGCATGTATTTTGTACAGAAATATTCATTTACATCCGATTCTTTTACTGGGTTTTAATCATAAAGGATTGTATTCACTTTTTACAAATTTAATAGGTATTTTAACATGATTCAATATACAGATGTCATGCTCTATATACAATTATAAATATACACTTTACATATTGAAAATGATGTACATTAAAATGATATAGCCAAATCTAATTTTGTTTGACTTGTCAAATAAAGTATAAGCGATAACACTAATTTTTGATTAATTTATTTTCATAGTAATTATTCATAAACATATATTGTATCCTTTTAAGCCTAGGTTTATGTTTGTTTATGTTTGTATTACACGGAACAATGATAATTTTGTAACAATGAAAATGTGTATAAATTAAATGGTTAATGATGAAGTAACTTAGAAAAGGCAATAGTGATTATATACAGCTTGGAAATTAACTACCTTTATTTACGACAGTAACAATAATATTTTATTTGATTGGCTAAAATTTTACAACTACATGACTGAATAGAGATAGACTTCGTAAAAAACATCTATTATATATATCGATCTTATAATACTCATTGTTTGTTTTAGTCATGCTTTCAGTATTTTTCATTCGATAAAAATTTGTATTTATAGTAATGTTATAAAAATTGGAACTTTTATACTTCAATTTTTTTTTGTTTTCAGTTATTCAAATTTTTATTATTCACGTAGCCCGATGTAAAAAATAGATTATTAACATGTAATTATTTGTAAAGGCTTAGATAGTCCTATAAACAAAGGGGATGTCAAGGGTATGTGACGAAATTTAGTGTTGACACAAAAAGCACAAAATGAGCGAATTAAACGTTCGAAAGTTATCCGAAAGCGTGTTCGTACGCAAAACTATAAGGAAGGTGACGGTCGAAATGATACACTACTAATTGCAAGACGGAATCGAAAAGAGACTTTATTGGAATTTTATTTGGGTTTTTATACACCTGCCTCGAGGCGATGGTGGGAGCTACTACGCCCTGGTGCCGTGGTGTTTCTGCTGATTTTGGAAGTTGTAAGTCTGGCGTGTGTCGAGAATTGGAAGGAGTCAACCGGATGTGTTTCTGTCTACTAAGTCAAACGTAGAAGCGTGAAAAAGTAGCGGCGTTACACCCCCCTTATTATATTGAATTTGTCCTCAAATTTATCTTGTTACGAGCCAGGGCTGCGAAAGCCGAGGAAATGGCGAGTTTGTTTTTTGAATTTGTTATGTGGACGAACATGTGCCTATTTCATCACAGGGAGCCATTAGGATAGGTTGTCGTGGACGAACCTGAGCCTATTTCACCTCAGGGAGTATAATTTATATGGGAGTGTGAATAGTTTTACTGCCTATTGTAAGAATCTTAATACGCACGAACAATTACTTTTTGGCAATTGGTAAACTTTTACATATGAATTTACTTACACGTTATTTACTAACAAAAATTTTATTTATTGCGAATAATTAAATAATGAACGTATGTTAATATTCAGCTACGTGTCTCTCAAATTAAGTGAAATACAGAAGTTTTATTCTCTTGAAAATTAGTGTCAAAGAATGCAGCAACTGGTCAGATTAGTTTCGTAAATAAATCGAAACCCTGTATCGGCACATTGTTTTTTATGCTATCAAATATCACACGGAATCTTTTAGGAAGTAGTAAAATCTTTTACACAAATTCAATGAAATACTTTCAGGTACCCAGTTTAGGGCTATGAAATTAGAATGTTCAAGAAGAGGTAAAAAAGTTTCATATTTGCAATTATTTTGTGAAATGAATAATAAATAAGGGTCTTAGGGATTTATACTGGAGCACTAAATCTTTAAAAGGAACATGTCGCTTAAACAAATTAGTTAAAAATGATATTTATTTGGGGAATATGAACATCATAAATAAACTAGAGTGGTAGAGCGAGTTGCGGTATCGGTGCTCTCCGTCGGTGTCGACGCGTACCGAACGAGGCCGAAGATGGTCGGAGCGGGCGAAAGGGAGAGAGCGAGAGCGATAGAGCGAGCCGCAGTATCGGTGCTCTCCGTCGGTGTGATGCGTGCTAAGGAATTTCAGGGGCTATGAGGGTAGGTGTGCGAGCGAGAGAGTACGGTAGAGCGTGCCGCGGTATCGGTGCTCTCCGTCGGTCCAACGCGCTAGTGACGTTGTGTAGCCGGCCGTACCATCTGGTGTTTGGGTCGTTCAAGCCGGCAAAAACAATTCAACAGGAACAAACCTGCGTACGCCCAATACGTAGCGGCGTTAGCGCGTTAGCTTCCTCACTTTCTCGTGAGCCGTCGTGGAGGGTGGGCGCGCGTCTCATACTCGTCCTTTCTCTTGTTACTAACCCATTGTTTGTTGCAGGCATTCGACAACCATCAATTTATTTACTGTGCATATTATTAATCTATTTACTGTGCATATTGTTGTGTCCCCTCTCTTGTTACTAATCCCTTGTATGTTACAGATGTTCGAGAACCATTGGCTTCGATATTTATTTTCTTATTTACTGTGATTTATTTTGCTTCGATATTTATCTTCTTATGTGTATTGTATAATGAAAAATATTTTTCCAAACAGTTATTCCATCGAAAGAAGACATCGATCAACGTCTACATCTTCAAAGCGTGCGTCTACCACTGCGTTAAGTTACTGTAAGTTAAACTTAAATCATAATTCGATATTCATTGTTATATTCATATTCATCATCACATCGTTTATTATTAATTTTAGTCTATCTATTAATAGACTTAAATTGTGATCAGCCATTGTGCATACCAAGTTATTATTAATTCATTTTGCTCGTTGATTTCTCTACACAGACTTGGGGTATGGGCAGTGGGTCTGTACCTATTATGGTACGGGCAGTGGGCCTGTGCACTAAGACTGTTTGCCGATCCCTCTGGTTTCTATTGAGAAGCCAGATATCGGACGTGTTTAGTCTTTGCCTGGTAAGTAGGATTTGGAGTAAAGGCTCGTGCGCGCCTGGGTACAACGTGCCCGCCTACGGAGTAGTCGGGAGTCTGCTCCGTAAAAGGACTCTGTTTTACAGGGGATCTCGCTTGCACTACCATACTTGGTCATGACCTGTGCTCGGGTCTGGTACGTAGGTGACCAGCCCAAAGGGCCTGGAAAGTGAGAGATGGATTCGGGTTTGCGAGGTTGCGCCCGTCTTTCCTATTTTCTTAAACCAGGTTCTGGCGACAACACTTTCATCGCGATACTTGTTCATACCTGTAGTTTAACGGGGTTCATTGTAGAATTAATAACTGCTTGGTATATTAGGTGCGTAAACGAAATGATCGATGGAACTTTATCCATTCCGTCTATCTCTTTCGTTTGAGTATTAGCGACTACGTTGCGTTAAATTTGTTATTTCGTATTACTAGCATTAATTCGTATTAATTAGAATATTAAGATAATATTAGTTCTAAGCTGAAGAACGAAGACAACCGACGAGGGAACTTAGTTTTTTATAGGTTTAGGCTCAAGAAAGAAGTCATCCGCCGAGGGATTTTAGTATCGGTAGTATTATATAGTTAAGATTTAAGTAATTTATAAGGTTTATTGTGAAAGGTGGGTAGATGTAGAACTTGTGATTCCATCTACTTGCCTTGGGCCTCCACTCGCAGCAACCTCCTCGTGGTGAGGCCTGGGCAATCGGTATTGTCATCGGTAAAATACTGTAAACTGAAGACAATATCGAGCCAATGGCTGCGAACTTCGAATATATCTCATGAAACTACGTTCTATATTACATCGAATTAGGATTATTTTAGAAATCGATATGAGATTCAAAGTGTAAAAATGTCCAGTACTTTGAATATTTTAGAAAATTATTCGAGATAAAGATGTATGGAACTATTGAAAATCACTTCAGATTCCTTTTCCTTATTCTGTAAATTCTTTGATTGGAATATGAATGCTTACTACATCGAACGCACAGTTTCATCTATATAGAAGCATGTAACAATTTCAGAAATTGCTATTTCTTAAAGGATTGCATACAAATAATCAAATTACAAAACGGTTTCAGTTAGAGATGGCGTGCAAAATCACTAACGGTGATTTATCACAGTGATCGCAGAATCACGATCAACGTCGTGATTTAACTTCATTCACGACCGTGATTGCGATTTTTTTATCTTGAGTGAATTTGCTCACTGCGATCGTAAGTCTTTGATCTTTAAACAGAGAAACGTATTCAATATGATTTTACGATGAATTACATTACTATTCGTGTTTATAAAAAAGAATGATTTGCTAGGTAACATGCAGATTATAATTTATAATCATTAATTTATTCATTATTCTTCATTGTTTCTAATTATTCCTTCACTTTATACGATATAACTCGAATTTTTGTTTTGATGTCGGTAATATAAAATATACAGATTATGTGTCGCGTGTAAAGAACTGTTAGGTTTCTCCACCAATCAGAAACGATCACGAGAAATCACGAATCATTGTGAAAAATCGCCGTGATTGGGAACAAACGTGATCGAATCACTCGTGATTCACAAGTACCAGTTCACGCCATCTCTAGCGGCAACCCAAATTGCGGCTGATTTCGATTGCATTTACACCGCTGAATGGTCATCATTTTCCTTCGGCACGCATTAGATTCGAAGTTTAAAGAACGTACATTAGTACTTTATAGCGGCTGGGTACCAGTAATTACAAGAACATTGTCAAAATCACATTTATTTGCAACGGTTGACACTGTATCTCGTCGTGCGTACCGCGGTTGGTTCACTTTGGACAGCTCTTACACCATTATACGGACAGCGTTCGTATAGATAAAGCACTCGATTTGTAGCCGCAAGTACGTAGATTAATCCACTGTTATTGACAATAACAATAAACGGCCGGAACACTGTTAAAAGCGCATTTAATCGAGGAGTACCACTTTGTTTTGACCGGTGGCGCCACCCGTGTTAATTCGTTCAAACTGCTAGCCAAATCATACCGACAGGTGAGTGAAAAAAAACCCACTGATGGAAAAATGCGAATATCTCAGTAATTAAGCATTCAAAATGAACGCCGTTATTCTCAAATTATTCCTGAGGGCTTAATTCATCGACTCAATACTGCAGAACTCCAGCATTCGTAAAATTATTTATGCCTGAATTAATGATGTCCCTTATGCAGTGACAACCCTGCTTGTAAAGTTTTCTATCGCATTTACACAGCTAAACGGGCATCATTCATCTTCGTTTTCCATTAGATACGACGTTTAAAGAACGTAGATTAATGCTCTCACGGCTGGAAACCAGTAATTATAAGAACTTTGTTAAAAGCACATTTGTTCGCAACGATTGACACTATCTCGTCATGCGTAGCCCGGGTAGTTCACTTTGGACAGCTCTTACACCATTATACGGGCAGCGTTCGTATAGATAAAGCACTCGATTTGTAGCCGCAAGTACGTAGATTAATCCACTGTTATTGACAATAACAATAAACAGCCGGAACACTGTTAAAATCGCATTTAATCGCGGAGTACCACTATTTGTTTGAACGGTGGCGCCATCCGTGGCGAATCGGTGAAACTGCTAACCAATTATATGGCTAGCAGTTTCAGCAATTCGCCACGGATGGCGCCACCGGTCGAAAAAATATTGGAATTCGCGATTAAATGCGATTTTAACATTGTTCTGATTGTTTATTGTTATTATCAATGACAGTGGATTAATCTACGTTCTTTTAGCTTCAAACTGAATGCTTGATCAAGACGTAATTTGTCCATAGAACGTTGGAAGAGCTATTTAAAGTGAACTAAACGGGGTACGCATTGCGAGATAGAGTGTCAACCGTTGCAAACAATTGAGATTTCATCAATGTTTTGTAATTACTGGTTCCCAGCCGTTATAGGGTACTAATCTCCATTCTTTAAACTTCGAATGTAATGCATGACGAAGAAAAGTGTTGCCTGCTTAGTGGTATATGTAATCGCAACAGGTTTCGATCGGATTTACACTGCTAAACGAGCATCAGTTTTCCTCGTCATGGATTACATTCGAAGAGAACGTCATCGCTAGGTAGAAAGGGAGGGACCAAATTTCCCATCTTCATATTTTCCCGCGCTTTACGTTTTTTCCACTGAGAGCATCCTTCCGCTAGTAATTCTTTTTCCGCCTGTTTCCTCCGCTTGCCATTGAAGGGACGTTTTATCTCGTCGTGTATTTCCTGCCGAGTGTCATGCGTTTCAACGTCCATAATTAACCCACTGCGTTCACCCAGTTTCTTCGTTGCCCTCCCAACGAATGTATTTCCACACGCTGCGCTTTTGCATCTTCCCACGATCGTGATCTCATACGAGAACCTGTCAGGAGACATTCTTGTCTGCTCGTTTGAAAACAAAAACGCAATTTAATTGGTGCTGTTGAAAAAATGCAACAGCCACAATATTCGTCCAGACCCACGGTTTCAAAATATGCTTTTTGCACCCTCCAGACGTAACTGTGTCGTCTGTTTTTATGCCGCCCAATTTTCCTTACTTAGGAAAATGTTTGTGTGGGTAAAAATTAAAACCCTGCATTTGTGCACTGTATTACGTATGTCCAGACCGTTCGTCTTCCGTGGGTTAAACAATAATTTTATTAAGAAATATTTTGTAATAAGACAATTATATTTACAGTTATTGTATTCCAAACTGTAGATGCTTATGTACTCATAACACGTACAAATGTATAAAATAGAATATTTTTCATTTTAATTCCGTTTAATTCTAGTTCATAAAAGTTATATTCATAAGAAACGAGAAACTAAAACGCATACTATGCACCTAATGAATCTGTATATACAAATCCCTGTGTTACAGAAAGTGTTACAAAAGTGGTAAAAAAAAAAAATTGCAATATTAATAAAGCTTATGACTGTTTATTAATGTCCATTATTTGCACGTTCCAGAAAAAAACATAGGAAGAGTATTCAAAAACTTTAATTCACAATGTGATCGAATTATAATACAACAATTGTTAACATTGTAAACCTCATGGTTTTAACATAATATACCTCTTTATCTTCCTGCCCAGAACACAAGTTTCTACTTATACTAAAACAACATTATTATGCGTACGAGGATAAAGAAATAAAAATAACGAAAATTTGTAAACACGAATTTCAACTAGTAATTTTAAATCTCTTTGTTACTACTATCAAAATAGCATTTCGTTTTATGTTCGCATTATAAATTTTAATTATTTCACTAGAGTTCTTTCCCTTTCCTTTGTATTAATGTACAAGTATAACATGCATACATTTATTCGAAACATAATTATATTTTTAATATTAAGAGAATATATGTCATGTGCAATTTCATCTGATTCCTTTGTTAATTACAGCAATTGAAACCATTGTTCGTTCAATTAGATAATTTAATGATCTAAAATACGTAGATTGCCAGAAACGATTTTGTTTTCTAAAATTGTGCCTGATGGAAGATCAATACGTTCACCATGGTTCGCGATAATGATAACTGTCCCTTTAAGAGTTACACCTTTTCCAAAGGTAACATCGCCTGACACTGTCAAGTGGTCTAACTCCAAAAGATCCGGTATAGTAGGAAATCTGGTAAGAAACTCTTTAACCTGAAAGAAGTTTCGTATTAATTATACCGAATTTTTTATTCAAGATACCAATAATATTTCCGTAAAGTATAATAAAAATAACAACCTTGGAGAAATGTTTATCGCCTAGTTTTATAAGGGGTGTTGTAGGGAACATTCGTTGAGGACTCATTACTAAGGAACCATTGCGGAGAGTATACAAATTACTCATAACAAGCATTAAATCTGAGGTCTTTTTTACTGGTAAGAACCTGCTACGTGGCACATTTATACCTATAATGCAGTTTTACAGTATTACACGACAACAAAATACAATTAAGAAGCTCTACTAATGAAACACAAATCATATTTCTCTTACCAATACTTCCTTCGAATGATTTCATTGCAGCACCTACAGCTGTCTCTAATTGGATAATATTTAGGCCATTCGCAAATGTCTTATTGTTAACAATAATCTCCATGTTCAACGAATTTGTCTCCACTACCCTTTCGATGGCTACAAAATAAATGAATAATCCGTTACTATAGACATACTATAAGATTAAAACATACAAATACATACCACTGAGTTTGATCCACAAATTATTCGTGTTGAAGAATTTAAATGTTTTCACGGACTTGAAGTCGTCCACGTGGTCTTTCGGAACTTGTGCAATTTCAAGAAGGCGAAGCTTATCTTCGTATTTAATCAGTGTTCCACCCTGTACGCATATAGAAAAAATACAAAATAGCAATAAAAATGCAGATAAAAATCTGCTAAGTCGCAAGTATTTTTTTTCTTTCAGCAGAAACATTTTTTACCTTAACATCAGCTCGAGTTTTGTCAGTAACTTCCATAACGAATTCAAGAGGAGATGCTTCACGTTTGTCCAGCAATAACTTCAAGATTTTAAAATCTACAGTCGCACCCAGATTATCAATGTTGGAAATGAAACAGTACTCGCGACCCTGCAAACAAAAAAGACCAGTTACTGTAAATAAATTTCTATTGCTGTTTTCATTAACTCCATACGAATACTTGTGATCAAGCATACTTCTTTCAAAAATTTCTTTAGTAAACCTGAACTTCTGAAACTTTCATAAAAATCTCCGTGACCAGGGGGATACCACCTACAAATTGAAATTTGATTATTTTATTTATTATTTATTATGTACATCTAATAAACAATTTATTGCTACTCCTTACGCTTCAATATCATCTGGAACGAAGCAGTGTTTAGCGATTGGAAGCAAAGAATCTCGATTAATACGAGGATAACAGCTCTGATTAAACGTATGAATATCAACATCTATCCCTTTGTATTTCCTAATGATACGTTGTGTATCATCATCGGTGTTGAAGGAATCCATCAAAATTAGAGGTACGTTCGAGTTATAAGTTTTGTTCAAATACTGTTCGTAACAAAAATAAAGAATAGTTATTAATTTTCTGTTCACGAAAATACAGACCTATGGTCTTCAATCATTATTATTACTATAGTAAATCATCGATGAGTGTTTAGGCGTCATTTCTATCAGGGGGAGGGGTTCTCCATGGAACCAATCAAGCGCCCAATGGTAGGGATGACATATGAACACTTAAAGCAGAGGAGCCTTCGATCACTCATCGATGATTTACTGTACACTGAATTCTCTTTTCACACAAAAGATACGTTCTCAAATAATGTAGTAGTGTACACCCACGAGCAAACTCGGCTTCCACTAGGGAAAAAAGTAGCGTAAGGGAAAGGCTTCCTACCACTTATTAAATTTATTTCAAATACTGAAATAAATGTTAAATCGAATGTTAATTTGGCATAAATTTCTATAATTCCCGATACAAAATTTTAGGAGGCCCTTCTCCAACGCCACTTTTTCCCCTAACGGAAACCGAGGTTGCTCGTCGGTGTACATACACCTTTAGATAATAAAATAATAGTAAAAATAATACGATAAACGAAATAGGATTGTTTTTTTTGTAAACTGACATTAATTCCCTAGTATGTGGGGATATTTTTCTCATGAAATGAAAATCAAATGAAGATGTTTGAAAAACTTGTCGGACCGTGTTAAGTTTAAATTGTGTAGAAAAAAAGTCTGTGAGAAAAACAGAATTAAGTGTACTTGGCACATCATCGTTTACATCGATTACCTCGATTTGCTGAACCAGCACTGCAATTACAGACTTTGGTCCATGGCATCCCATACTAGTTCCTAGGCCACCGTTCAATTTAATAACAACTAGCTTGTTCAAAAGAATTTTCAGTTCTTCTCCTTCCGGGGTTGGTAAAGAATTGTAGTCTCGTACCTAATAATATATGTATATAAAAATCATTTATCGCAACAAAAACTTCAAAGATTCATGCGAGCAAATAATGAAACGTTTCGATAAAATGTTTACGCGATAAAATATCGGAGGTAACTAGCATTAGTAAGAGGCATAATCGAAAATAATTCTTAATTCTCGTATACTAGATACTATACAGGGTGTCCCAAAATAGTTTCGACTGCCGGAAATAAGGGGTTCCTTGAATGATTTGAAACAACTTTTTCCTGAACAAAAATGTTCTTCGGGGCTTTGTTAGCGAGATATTAACGAAGAACTGCGACCAATCAGGAGCGGCTGCAGACTATTTACAAGAGAACATATCGAACCCAGACACGCCGATTTTGTGAAAAAATATTTGACACGTATTTTTTTATATCGGCCATCGTCCATATTGAAGGGGTGAAAACAGCCCTCAATGTTAGGGGTTGAAAACATTTTTTGGAATATCTCGAGAACTAGAGGGTATAGATAAATTTTGTTGTTGTAAATTCTGTGTTTTTTAATGGAGAATGTAATCATCTAAACGTTTTTTTTAAATTTATTTGTTTAAATAATATATTTAAAAAAAAACGTTTAGATGATTACAGTCCCCATTAAAAAACACACCATTTACAACAAAAATTTGTATCTATACGCTCTAGTTATCGAGATATTCTAAAAACTGTTTTCAACCCCCAACTTTGAGGGCTGTTTTCACCCCTTCAATATGGACGATGGCCGATATAAAAAAATACGTGTCAAATATTTTTTCGCAAACTATATTCCATGTACAGGGCATCAAAATCGGCGTGTCTGGGTTCGATATGTTCCCTTGTTAGATAAAAACTAATTAAACATACTTTTATATTGATATAAAAGGAAACACAGCAGTAATTAAATAATATTAAATTAATAAGGGCGGCCATATTGTTTTTGAACCCGGGCGGCCAACAACCTAGGAACGGCCCTGCATAAATCACGTGTAAAAGGTATTACAATAAAGAAAATTATTACAAATGCATGAAATGTAATAATTGAATTATAAATTTCATCATTATTTAATCAATTTCCGGGGCCTCTTAATTGTATTCGGATAATTATTCTTATTGAAGAACCAATTATTCCTGCCAATATTGCGAAAATAAAGTACAATATTCCAACGTTTTTATGATTTGTAGAATATAAACCAGTTGTATAGCCGTATTTCAATAAGACATACGTTTCTACTTATATAAACTAAACTTTGAAAGTTTATAGTTTTTTTTCACTTAAAGTCTTTATTTAAGATTTAATATTATGCCTGAATTCAAGGGTATAAATTGTAAATTTATAAATGAAATTTAATTTTATATTATTTTTGTAATTTAATTTAAAATATCAAAGTGCAATTTTGAAAATGTGTTTTACCAAAAGTTAAATAATTAATAATGAATATATTATATTCATTACGATCTTACCGCATCGTCGGGAAGTTTCTGCATACGATCCCATTCCAGCGACGGGCCTTCCTCTTGCAGGAACCGTTTGAACAAATGAGTGAAACCGTCGAACTGTCGGTGGAACTCCTCCTTCAGGTCGTCACCGGGCGCTGTGGTCTCGAGCTTCTCGAGTTCATTGTGGAGTTCGATCAGGGCGTCACGTTTGGTCCTCTCGCGAAATGCCTGTGTATCTGAGGGACTGCGTTGATGACCACGTGCCTGCGAGGATTCGTTCACCGTGGGACGGAGGGGGGGGGGGCAGGGGGCGAATAGAATGGAAAAAAGAAATATATATACATATTTATCATATAAATACCTTTTCCTTTGGCGAGCAACGTCGCACCACCGCTGGCGTTCAATTTTTCGAAATCGTTCATGGTCACGGTTCACCGTTTTTAAATTCGTTTTATCCCTGTGTTCCTATCAGGGAGGGGGGGGGGCGACAGGGAGAGAAAATTCGATAAAAGTCGGAGCAAAAAGGCAGGTCGTCGAACGGTTCGCCACGTATATATACGGGAGATGCAAATGCAACGAAGATCCTGGTCGAAATTACGCTGAGACTTCGGTCGAGGAGAATCGCGATATTTTGTTTTTTATTCGAACAAAAACTCGGGAACTGTCTTTTTTCTGTTTTACAACATGCGAGGCTCACTTCTGGTAGCTATCGAACGACACGAAACTTCAGCGTAATCGAGTGAAAATTCTACACGGTGATCCTATTAAGGTGCGTATCCACTTGTTGCGTATATTCGGATCGTATCACTGTCGGGTACCGACGTGGACGGGCAAGCGTTGTGTATCGTTGCGTATGAAAATGTAATACAATATGATACAAGGATACGCAACAAGTGGATACGCACATTTACAAGTGATGCAGAAACCTACCTAACCCTTAAAATTATCGAAAAAATTAGTGAAACACAGCATGGATCTAATAATTTTGTCATCTTTATTTTGTAACAAAATTACAACTACCAAGCCAGAGAAAATTAAAAATTAAATTAAATTTGACTATAGAAAATTTAATAATAATATTAATTATACCACTCACTATTAAAAAAGCCATTACAAAACATTGTTTTCAACACCAACAAGGAATAAAGTACATATACCCAATGGAAATATAGCTACTTTTTTTTTTAAATTAAAGTCTTCAAAAAGAAATTCACTTCGTTTCAGATCAGTGGGGATTATGACAGCTTTCTGCATAACTTGGCCCAATTTCGTAATCAACCGTATCTACAGGGTGTCGCAATATCTGTGATGCAGGAATGGATTTTACGTGTAGAATGAAGTTCGAAACGTGAAAGAAAATTCGTTCGCATTCAGGAACACAGTGACAACACCCGTAATAATGAGCTTTCTACGTTTCCACGCAATTACAGATTAGCCGATGGAGAAACACTCCATCCCTCCTTCCTTTTTTTAGTATCCCCACGAAGATACACACGGATGGAGAAATATGGTGCAGATAGCGTTATCGTCATCGCGCGTGCAACGATCGCATCAATTACGCAAAAAACGAGACAAAGAAAAGAAAAAAAAATCTGAATCCTTTCCGCGAGTGTCAACGTATGTGATAATTAGATAAACGAGTTCTCTGTGTGCCGCTGCAACGAAACGTGTATTTACCGTAAGTCGAAGTGAATTTTGTGAGTCACAATCGGTTCAGGGTTAACTTTAATCCCAAAGTCAAAAAATGATCGTTTTCGATTGTTGCAGGTATTTTAACATTAAAAATACCTTTTTCATGTAAAAGTCAACTTAATTTACAATTTATCGGAACTATAAAATCGAAAATTATTAGTTTTTGAGTTGGGACAAAATTATGGCACGTCTCTATACCGCCAATATGGCGGCCATTTATGGCAAACGTTGACGATTGGACGATTCTTTCCGATAAATGTGTGCAACAGTCACTTGTTTTGAGAGGTTATGTTGTCGACGAGATATCGGAGAGTGGTATTGATTAGAAAACATTCGGAATGTATTTTTACTTCTATATAAACGGATTTCTTTTTAATCGGGACCACGTGACAACGCGTAAACACACTTTTAATCGGTCAAGTACAATCGTGACATTCGATACGATGGTCTCAATTGTTCTAAATTGTTCGATGTTATGCAATGGAAGATAGTAAGTGGAGCAAGGCATCGAGATGTGCAAGTTCGAATAATTTAGAACCATTTGACGAAGTCATATACACACACACACAGGCCTTATGTGTTATTTTTAATTCATTTGAATTTGAATTTCGCGCGGTTTACTCGCTGAAGAGCAAATTGCCCTTTATTATGCACATTTTTTTCGTAATAAGATATATGTAACAACTAGACTGCGGATTTTAGGCGTTCGTAACTAATCACGAATTTCTGTGAAATGCAATTAATTAAAATTTTTACGGTAAGAATTAAACCTGCTTTCGTACATTTATAACTAGCTATTCTCAAAATTCATTTTGGCAGAATTAAAAAAGTGATTTTGTTAAAAAATTTAAAATATACATAATATTTCTAAATTGAATTGGAAAAACGAAAGTAAAAAAGAAAAAATAGATATATATTATATTACTATACATATTTATCCCCGTTTATTCGTACACCTTTTCACCCCTCTAGAAATGGAATTTGAGATAAATCCTGATATTACTTTCTAAGCATTTGAATAAGTAGCATTTTAAAGTAAAAAGTATATTACTATAAAAATGGTACACAGCAGGCCCATAAGGCACTATTGTGACAAGTAGCAGATTACTTAATTCGTCACGTGTTTTCCAGTTCCTGGCTGTATTTTACTTTCATGATTTAATTTATATTCAATTCACGGTGTATTTAAATTGACGTCAAACGAGATTTGTGAAAGTACATGAACGTGATATTTACCAAGCCTACACAATAGTTATCTGGATAATGAATGGTAACACATCCGTGGTGTATACTTGGCTCCGGAGCTAGACGCCCCCCCCCGCCTCCACTCTTTGTTAGTATTGGTTTAATACTCAGCTTTCATTACTTCTTATACTCTGTTACCGCAGATACACTTCTACGTAACGTGTACTGTGTATGTTACAAGCGTACACAAACAAAAATGCATTAATTTCAATAACCACTTTTGCTAGCATTTATTCATAAAAACATAACCTAACCAAAGCTATGTTCTCATATTAATTAAATAAAGTCAACTAATTTTCCGTTAATTTATGTAACTGAAGTATTTATTTTACATTACAATTGTTTCTTTCTAAGTGTATTAAATAAAAAGTATAACCTAACCAAACCTATGTTATATTGATTAAACAAGAACAACCAATTTTCTTGAAAAAGATTCCTGAATTATCGAATGAAATGTTAAGTTTTCATGTTTGTTCATTAAATATACCTATATCTTAAATAATTATACTTTCGACATTATGCTTTTACTAACATTCTGTACGAAACGTATGCATTACACAGTACACATTCTTGTATTCGGTTCATACTGCTGCTAAAATCGTACGTAAATGCATACACGAATTACATAGTAAATGTATACATTTATTAACTTCACGTTTTTCCTGTGACATATATGTACACACACACACACACACACACACACACACACACACACACAAATGTGTGTGTGTGTGTGTATAATATGTGTACGAATAGCATGCGGTGCTGCAAGAGGAGGGAGACGCAACGCGCGTAAGGGGTTCATCAGTGGACGGACACTGCCTTAGGGTGGGTCTCCACTGCTTTAAGGTGAGTCTCCACTGCTACGGATTTTGTCGCACAGAAAGGTGATGCAGCTTCGGCAGTCAATGGTAGTGTGCTTTTTAAACATTTCAACACAGTAGAAATATTGCATCCTCACGAATAAACTCGGCTTCCACTAGGGGAAAAACGACGTAGGAGAAAGGACTCCTAAAATTGGTAAATTTATTTCAAGTAACTGAAGTAAATGTTAAACTGAATGTTTATTTGGCATTTTCAATAACTCTCAAGATCAAATGGTACGAGGCTCTTCTCCCACGCCACTTTATCCCCTAGCCGAAGTCGAGTTTGCTTGTGAAAGTCTTTCTTGTATAGCAATGGAGACGTACCTTTACACAATGTGGTTGGCTATTATCTATTCGGGTTAACAGCTGAGCAATACCCAATAATGGGATGTCCTGTCACATGATGGAGCTCTCATAATGTTATGGAAAACTTTTTTTGAAAATTTTTTCCTACCGATATGTGGACAACTAGAAACAATATTAAATTTATCTAAATGTTTTTTACGGATATCTCTAGTAGTTTACGAGTTACATACGAATAAGTAAAATAACGCTCTGAACAAAAAGGGTGGTTTCCACATTAAAGTCTAAAAGTAGCACCATCCAAGTATGCCAAAATTCTTAGGTTGGTATCATAAACAATTGAGCAAAGTCACGGTATCACTTCGCAAACACATCCCTCGTAATTTTAAATGTAAATGCACAAGTCAGTTTGCCCGAATTATTTGAACGTGTGAACGGGCCTTTACTTTATGAAAGTTGGTAAATACGTCACAAATCTAACCTCTATGTCACTGCTGGCGCCGATAGGCGCTCAAAAGAAATAAATCACTCACAACTTGCAGCTGATGACATTTTACGGTTGGATACTGGCAACTAACAATAAATTCGGCCGTGAGACGCTGTTGTCCACTGTTGTCGCTTTGCTACCGGTGACATACTACTATAAAGCAGTTATATCGGTTTACACTGCTCCAAAGATAGTATTCGCGCGAGACTGTCTACACCGTTCGTCTGAATGAAATTTTTCACGGTCACGGTTCGATGTTTACCGTCGTCTGTCTCTTACGCGTGGAGGTTCATATTGAAATCGGTCGCGACGATCCGATTTACATGTAAACTCAACTCGCCTCCTAGGGTAAAAAACCCAATTACTGACACTTTAAGAAATGACACTGACATTATTGCATAATTTTTGTATTAACAGACCAAAAACATAAGTTTTTATTTGTATTTATTATTATTTAATATGTTTAACTGAAGGAAAAAATTGATCTAACTTTCTGAACCTCTACTTTTGTTTATAAATTCATTAGTTTCAAAAATATATCTCGACAGCTATTATTGGCACCCGCAAACCTAACCAAATATTGTCACCTCATATACATAAATACTGTCACTTTTTTAATAGCGTAAGGCTTTGTTGTCGTAAGCAATTATTAACATGACAGTAATTAAACA